ACCTCAAATACTAGGCCTCAAGGTGTTGTGTTCGGGCGCTTTCAGGGTGAGTCTTTAGGGCTTGGGGTTGAGCTTCCGGAGTTTTAGGGCGAACCTGTACCAAGACCCCCAAAAGTAGGTAAATAATGGCCCAAAGCCTATAACAGGCTACTATTCTACATACTCTTGGGGTGCAGGTAGGGCTGAGGGAGTTTTAGATTCAGATTAGTGGCTTGGCCGTGCTTCTTCGGGCTCCTGCCTGCGAGAAGAGAAACTCAAACAAGTTGATTGGCGCGTAGCCGATTGGCGTAGCCAGTTGCATGTCTGCTCACCCGCTTTATGGGAGTTTCCGAAATTAGGAGAACCTTGGGGGTCCTTATAATAAGGATCCTAGTATTTAGGGTACTACATAAGGGTCCCCTGTTTTCGGAAACTCCCATATATCCCCTCAGCACGTCATTGAGCCGTTTTGCGAGGTTGGTGCCACGGTGGTGGCAAGGGTGGTCCGCTTATCACAGGACCGCGCAGAATGTGTGCCCGCCATGCTTTGGAGCTGGTCTGTGATATTGATGGTCGTGAGTGTAGTTATAGTCTATATTATACCACCAACAAAAGTACCTATACCATTTTTTTTTGGGGGGGGTCCTTATTACAGTTATGTTACAATATACCCCCCCAAAACCCTCATCAAGGCCCTATTTTACTTTGTCATACTTGGGTAACCTTTTTGCATTTGTATGGGTACTTAAGCCCAATAAGTAAATATGTGCATGTTAATCCTATCCCGACCTTGAAGTAGATTAAGCCTCAAAGCCAAGCCCTACACCCCACGCCTCAAAAGCGGCCTGGAGGCTGGGGCGTGTAGGATGTATACCCGAGCCGTAAAGACCTACCTTTTTAAGGAGCTATATATATATATATATATATATGGATGGTTGTCATAATTTTGGTCCCGTTCTGGGTACCATAAATATTAGGTGCCGTATTATAATCGGTACCCAACATAAGGGACCATAATTTTGACAACCACCCATATAGAAACCGTAATAAGGAACCCTAAAATGTTAGGTCTTGTCGGCTACAGGTAGGGCTTCGTTTGGGGCTGAGGAGTTTTGCGGCTTTGTGTAGGGTTTAGCTTGTTGGCCTTTAGGGCGTAGTCCCAGAAGCCCAGCTACCACCCTACTATCCTACGACGAAATGAAGAGGGTCTTCATTATTTACCGGTGTTTGTCTGAGAAAGGCCAAAGAAGCATTCTGAAAGAGCTTTGTATGCACTCACTAACAAATAGAAACATGATCTCGTGTAAGGGCGGCTTCATAAGGGATTCATCCCTCAACCCTCAACTTCCTAAGCCAGGTCCCACTACTCTTAGCTTTGTCATACTTGGGTAACCTTTTTGCATTGTTATGGTTACCTAAACCCCAAAAGGAATATAAATGTGCATTTTTATTCCTATCCCATCCTTGATTTAGTTACAAGCATCTTACAGCGAGTGGGGGCGGGCTCGGGATAGCTCTAAGGCCTTGGCTTTCCAGTGCAGTTCTTTTGATGCAGAAAATCCTGCATTGCCTGAAGCACACTAATTTACGATAGTTGTGGTCTATTCCCGTTTTATAATTCTGATGCAGTTTGTCCATGAGCCGTTCAGGAGCGGGGAAGCCTTCGACTAGTTGCACAGGGCTCTGGACTACTGGACTGTTGCGTTTGTTGGCTGTCGTGCCTCGCTATTGGAGACATGCGGAAGAATTATCACATCTCAACCCAAAGATCCCAATTCCCCTTAATTCAGGAATATACCTCAAATCATAATATTAAGGCCCCTGTAATTTAAGGTCTATTCCGTAGTTAAGGGGTATTTGGTTCTCTGGGAACCCCAGACCCTCTCTTCTCCCTGGGTCGCTGAGAGCGCAGTGACCTCAGATCTTCAAGTTGTAGTATAAGTATCCTTAAGGGAGGGGGGTTGAAGGGGGGTATATAGCCTAGTGATCCCTAATTCTCCCTACTACTCTGTAAGGTTCCCTTACAGTCCCCTAAGGATTCCTTATACCCTCCCCCCTTGAACCACCCTCTTGTAAGGATCCTATAATCAAGGGGGTAGACAAGATTAGGTCGGCCAGCAACGGTGCAGGGTTGTGTGCTCAGGTCTAGCATCTTGGGGCAAAACCCTAAACCCTAAACCCTAAACCCTAAACCCTAACCCCAATATGTTAATATTTCAGGGTTTAGGTTGCTACTTTGTTGGCGGAGGTGCAGGGCTCTTCTTCTAGTGCTCTGTTGACCTCTGGTACCACAACGGCCTGACGATTCCATAAAATCACGAATCTGCATCCTCGTGACCACAGCTTTCGCGAAGCCACAGCATAAGCCGAGATTACTACAAAAAGGGCACCCTTATGCACAAGGCATCAATTACTGTCACACTGGCAGGTATCATTGTGGCAGTGGGGGAAACTCCACTTCAGGAGAAGGCAGCAGACATGATGTGTGAATTACATCTTCCCGGCAGGTTTAGACCCCCAAACCCTAAAGCGCTAAATTCCTCGGCAGAGGTCATAAAACTCCCCATCGAAGGCTGTCTTCGCTTACGGTCATAAAAAGCCGCAGCCGCTTTCACAGCCGTAGAACTCGCTTTGCTATTGGGATACTGCAAATTTTCCTTTGCACGGGCCTAGCCAGATTTTGCTCTTAGGAATACTTCGTTAGAGGTTTTTAACGCCTTGCAAATTGTGAGTTCCTTAGACGGACCTCGTGAGAGGTTCATGAACTCCCCTCGGGTCAAAGGATCAGTGGACTTGTTCGTAGCTTTTTCAATACGGTTGTGAGCGCCACCCACACTCACCACTCCAGCTTCAACTGTTGCTTGGACAGTATCCTAACCATGACATGTTACAGAACAGTTTCTGCAATGTAGGGTCCAGCCTAAGACACCTTGTAGAAGCCTAAACCCCTAACCCTCCCATACCAGAAGCTTTGAGCCCCGTGAAACGGTAAACCCTCAATTAATCCCCGACACTTACAACACTTCGTATTTCACGACACCTACCCCGCAAACAACACTGACAAAACCCGTTTCGCAACGCCTACGCCACAGACAAAACTAGCGAAGCCTTTTAACATATTAACGTTTCCAAAGCCCTCCGTCAACCGACTGCATTACACACTGCTGCGAAACCCTAAACCCTGAACCCTATAAACCCTAAATACTAAACCCTAAACCCCTTATAAGCCCTATCCAGTCCTTGATTCTACACTCCCCGGCGCAGTTCCGCGGAGTGGTCCGCAAGCAGGACGTGCGCTTCTTTGAGGCAGTGCTGGCTTTTTACTACGTTCCTGAGTAGCACCGTTCTGCCCTGTTTAGTTTAGAGACCCCTTATCAAAGCCCAATAGTAGGAATAAGGGTACCCTTACTATGAAGGGAGATACTCAGGAACCTAGTTTAAGATTCGGGGATGGTTGTGCAGGTTTTAGGCTTTCAGGGTTTAAATGGGGCTAAGGCTCCTTCAGCGGCTTTAGGGTATGCTTTTGTGACAATGTAGTGCCTTGCAACGACTTGAGTCCAGGGTTAAGGCTATGAAAAAGGTTCAGCGGAGTTTCGGATTTTCCTGGAGTTGGTCGGAGTTGGTGGTGAATATTGACAACTGAATAAACAGGCGAATAGTTGGTAATGTCCCCCCCACATACTTTTGGGAGCATTTGATCACCTTTCGGGCTCAAGATTCGGACAGTATAATACGAGTTTTGAAAATTAAAACGACAAGGATTCTAGTCTTCAGTATACAGCTCTAAGTGGAACAGTAGTAATAACAACACCAGTAATAATTTTGAGAATAACAACAACATTCCCGGTGCTTCAATCTACATGCAGGGTGTGATGAAGTGTGAATGCTATATATGTCTTTGTTTCTGCACATGCTTTGCCAACATACCCCAACCCGAACTGGATCTGTGACAGTGTATGTTTATGCTACACACACGTATGTAACAAAAATGGTGCAGCGGCTACTGTTGTTAGTAGCGAAAGGAGCAGCAATCGTGGTGGTACGTTGTAGTAGGAGCAGCGGTACTAGTGGTTGTAGTCGTCGTCGTCGTTGTTGTTGTTGCTGCTGCTGCTGTTGTTGTTGCCGTCGTTGTCATCGTCGTCGTCGTCGTCATCGTCGTGGTTGTCGTTGTCGTTGTCGTCGTCGCCGTTTGTGGTGGCTGCTGTCACATACACATGACATGCACTGCACACATTGCTCTTTCGACCAAGTTCTGAGCTCCGCAGCTGCTTTTGCCCCTGCCCAGCTGGTGTTAGCTGCATGACGAAGAAATCTTAGATCAACTCTCCAGCAAACGTGACCATACCGCGGCTGTCCTCGCAGATTGGACACACAGCTAGTATAGTTGAAACACTGAAAATAGTGCTGAACAAGCTCGCACAAGGCTACGCTACAGGTCCAATCCCAAGTCGTTACAGTGTTACAAGCACCGTTAATACCAGACCATCATCCCGTAGTCTCTTAAGATGTATTGCGGGTAAGAGTAACCTCTGAGCCTGTCGCCGTAGACCCGATGACTCACATCCCAAGAACAAACCCCCAAACCCACCGAAGACCCCCGAAGGGCTTAGGCTTCGAGGTTTAGGGGCCTTCAGGGCTTATAGTAGAAGCCAGAAAGTTGGAACATAATTAGCCCAATGCCCTTAAGGTAAAGTATGAGGGAATCCTAGCCCTTCAGGGCTTAAAGGGAACTCCAGAAAGTTGGAATATGGATTACTGGTAGGATCCCCTATAATTTACCTTAAGGGCATGAGGAGAGTGATGTTCCAACTTTCTGGCTTCTACTATAGGTTTAGAGAGGCCCTGAGAGCCATTGGGCCGAGCCTTATAAGCAGCTTAAAGCGCCAGACTGAAGCGAGCCAAAGCCCTTGTAACAGTCTTCCCCCACCCTTATAAAAGCCCTTTAAGACCCTTATTAAAACCCTTTAGGACCCCCTTTATAAGACCCTTGTAAATCGTAGCCTGGGCTTTTGCTGCCCGCCATGCGCAACACTGCGTTTGTTGGCGGCTCCGGCACTGGCGTGGGAGGTGCTCCGGCACCTTAAGCTTCAGGGGTTTAGGGGGGTTTCGGGTTTAGGGTTTAGGGGTTTAGGGTTTGGGGTTTAACCCTTCACCTCAAAACCCCAAAGGGGTTTAGAGTTTAGGGTTTCTAAAACCCAAACCCACAAACCCTGAACCCCCAAAACCCTAAACCCTATGCACCCTAAACACCGAAACCCCAAACCCTAAACCCCGGAACCCCAAACCCTGAAACCCAAACCCCAGAACCTATAAACCCTAAACCGCCTACATCCTAAACCCTCTAAGGCAGCCATCAAAGCCCCAAAGCTGCCTTTTAAGGCTTGCTTCAACCTCGGAATCTAGGGGCTTAAATTATTACCAATACTAGTTTGGGGAGGGCTCCTTGTTATAATTTTAGTGTGCTGTGCCCCAAGATCTTGTTCTATTGATCCAGGCCCTATAATGGATCCGTTTGGCAGGATTCCCCTTTGCGGGTTTGATACGGTCCTTCTACCAGGCCTTCCAAGCAGAATAACAACAATAACAAAACCATGAGTAATCATACTCCTAAGAAGAAGACCACAATGAAGAATACATGAACAAACCAGCATCAAGATACTACTTGCATACACAACTACATGTGTGTATATGTTTATATCTGTACGTACATATAGGTATGTATGATACGTGTAACGTGAATGTATTGTTTGCATGCCTTTTGTGTCCGTGCCAGGCATGAAGTTTCCCATGTCAGCAAGAGAGCGCGATGACCTCATGGAGCTCAGCGATGTCTCCTTCCTCTCAAGGGAGAGGCCGCCCTCGTCAAAGCCCTCACTGCCGAACTTCACTGGGGTTTAGGGTTTCGAGGATATAGGGTTATGCATGTTTTTTATGACTCTCAAGGAACTTCACGTTTATTTCGAGAACTATTGATTATGTGATGGCTTTGGTAGTCTCCAGGTTCAGGGACCAAGATGAATTTAAGTACATGGGTAGTTCGCGGAATTAGGGTCCTTTTCAGATCCCAACTATTATACGGCACCCTTATGACAAGGACCCACGCAAGTGTTTGTGCCGCAATGTTTTTTATGTCATTGGTGCAATACTCCCACGATGGCAAATGCTCAACACCCAAACTGTTGAGTTTGATCCTTCCATGAATCACTGTGCCGCAGCCCCATTACCGGAGCTGCGGCAGTTGGCATAACCCTGCTTCGGCAATTTATTGGGACAGCCCACTGAAATGCCTTGACAGTGTGCACTGAAGTTACCTCCGACACCTACTTGAATGAAGGAGTTCCCCGATTCTGCAAGAAACTGATAGCTAGAGCCTGCTAGAGTTATAAGTTGGTTTAGAGCACGTGGGGTACTTGCAACCTTTAACGTGATTGTACCATTGCACTTGAATAGGACTCCGAAAGGTTAACTGCTTGTTTCTTTCCCAAAGGCTCCATGTATCGTTATAGCAGATACTTAAGCCTTAAGGGCGTCCCTATGTACTTTAAGGCTTAAGTATATACTATATGGGTACATGGAGCCTCAGGGTTTGGATGTTGCGGAAATAGCCATCCCGTCAAGTTTCGGTAGATTCGACCTACCCATAGACCCCAAAGTAGTTCCTTTTTGGGAGTACCTTATAGGATTCTATATATGAACCCCAAAAAGGAACTATTTTGGGGCCTAAAACAGGCCAACCTCATAGCGTGAACGCACAGTTCTGTAGCAGCTGTAACCATTGCATACGCTAAATTATGTGGAGCTACGAGGCATAGCCCAACCACTACAGCTATACATGGCTCAGCAACCCATGGGCATACTAAATGTATCTGGCTTCTGGCGCACTGTAATGCAGATCCCTGATGAACGAACCCCTTTCTTCGAGGGGCTTAATACTCGGATCCTTATTGAAAGCCTTTTGGGGTATTGGAAATCAGGGGCCTGCAAGCCGTAAAGATTCACCCTAGCCCTAGCTTCTTCCTATAGTCTCCATTGTAGATTTTGGTTTAACCAAGTTTTTATTAAGGGTCCTAAGAAGTAACCCCAAAAAAGAACTACTTTGGGTGGTGCCGAGTTTTGGGTGCCTGCTGCAATTCAAAATCCGAAGAAGAAGCCCCATGAAACCCACAGCACCCCCTGGACCCTAAAACCCAAACCCTGAACCCTTACCGAACCCTCCAAGGAACCCCTGAAAGAGAGGACCCCGGCTCCATCAGGGAAAGATGAACAGGACTTTGAAACGAGAGTAAAAAGTGCTTGAAATCGCTGAACTGGAAGCGAATGGAACTACTAGTAGTAGTAGTAGTAGTAGTAGTAGTAGTAGTAGTAGTAGTAGCAGCAGCAGTAGTACTAGTAGTAGTAGTGGTAGTAGTAGTAGTAGCAGCAGTAGTACTGGTAGTAGTAGTAGTAGTAGTGGTAGTAGTGCTCTCGAAGGTACGAGGACGATGGCAAAGATATATCCGATGAGTCCGACCAGGACAGGGGGCCGGGAGAAGGGACGATCTAGGGCCTTTGGGGCTTTAGGGTTTAATGTTTAGGGATGCTTAGGGTTCATAGGTTTAGGACAATTTAGGGCCTTTAACGCGCTTTAGGGTTGAGCGGTTGGTGTTCAGGGTTTAGGATGATTTAGTGCCTTTAGGGTTAATAGGGCTTAGGGTTTAATCAGGGTTTAGGGTCAAGGGTTTCTGGCCCTGATAGACTAGGACCTAGAGTAGGCCTTTATTCCCTTTTTAAGGGTTCAGGTTCCTTTATAAGCGCCTTAAAACCAAAAAGAGCACCCTTTTTATTCCTAGGGTACTGTTGGGTCTAGTAGACCACTCAGACTGAATGCATCGTCATAAAGTTACCCAATACCAAAAAGAGCGGCCTTTAGGGTTTAGGGTTTAGGGTTTTGGGTTTAGGGTTTAGGGTTTAGGGCTAGTAGACCAAGTGCCAGAAGTGTAGTTCGTAATTTGGGGCCCTGAGGGTCCAGGTACCCAAATGGGCGGTTGTCAAAATTACTTGGAGAGTCTTTAGGGGACTTAGTAACTATAAGGGGTTCCTTTAAAGGGATCTATAGGGATTCTATAAGGGAATAGGGTTTAGGGTTCAGGGGGACTTAGTAACTGATTATTTTCGGGACTGATTAGTACCATAACCCCAATTAGGTTCCCTGTTAGGGTACTTATAAGTCTACTTATTAGCTACTTACTAAGTCCCCCGACCCCCCAAGTAGGGTTTTGTTGGGTACCATAAATACTAGGTGCGGTATTCTCATAATGGGCCCACAAAGGGACCCGAGTTTTGACAACCACGCAGATAGCAAGTAAGTATTCGCCCTAAGGCTCCATGTACCCATATAGTATATACTTAGGCCTTAAAGTACCTAAATAGGGACCCCTTTATAAGGCCTAAGTATCTACTATAAAGGTATATGGAGCCTTTGGGTCGGGACCTCACAAACTCACAGTTTGGGTAGATTTCGCTCAGGTCCTGGGATTCCAAGATGCCCAAGCTATAAGAGTGAATAAGAAGTAGAATCAACGGTACCAGTAGTACTGTATAGTTTTCCTAATTACCAACCTATTCGCAGTATTATTGCTGTCATCGTTGTTGATTAATAGTTTGATTCATATTATTAACATAAAGTTTGACTTTTCGCATTATTATCATTACCTGTCAGAGTAGTGTTTATGCCGGTGTTGGAATAGACCCGACGCCCGAGTCCCAGTTAATTCAGGCATGGAAGGCACGGGTGGAGTCAGGGTTTAAGTTGTTTTATGAGGGTAGAGGTTGCATACCTGTAGCCGAAGAAACATACCGTTCTATATAGGGTTCGTTACTATGGTTTCCCCAAATAACTGCAAAATAAAGCGGTCGTTTTTGTTGGGCCGTTGCTAGGGTTTAGTGGAATGGGCTTTGGAGTACCATGCTTTAGTACTTTTCGGGACCTGTCACTTTAAGGGAAACCCTATGAAGTAAAAGTATTCACCTTTTTGTTCGTGCCGCGTAACTTCAAAGCCCTGTGGAAGAAGGGAGCAGGGAGGTTTATTGCATACCCGTCTTCAATGCATCCAGAGGCTGAAGGACTCTTCTAAACGAGGGAGGCCTCGCTATCAAGATTCAGGGCTGTAGGGGTTTAGGATTTAGGCTTTAAGGGTTTAGGGTTTGGGTCCTCTTTCCCGGATGTAGCATAAGTAAAGGCACGAGTCGGATAGCACGAAGATGTGTCACACGCATGCAATTAGGGTGTCGGGCTCATGAGTTTACAAGCAGTCTCAGAAGGTGAGTAAGTATTTTCTGAACACGCCGGAAGCCTACCTTTTTCCGGATTCTCATATGAAAAACATGACAGGAAACCGAGCCCAAGCATCTAGCTTAGAGGTGGTTTCAAGCTAGGGTGAGGCCGCGTTAAGTGCTTACTTTTCATTGTGGATTGTTTGTTGAGTGTCGGTGAGTGTCGTCAGGGCTGTTTAATATCGGTACAGTGCGGTACGCCCTTGCTGCGGTATGTTGCGGTATGTACTGCGCGGTTGCGGGCTGACGGTTCTGTGCGGTGCGGTACGCCCACCCCTCCACCTCCCCCTGCTCCACCACCCTCCCCTCCACCCCTCCACCCCTCCACCCTCTTCATGGAGGGGTGGAGGTGGAGGGGTGGAGGCGGAGAGGGGTGGAGGGGTGGAGGGGGAGGGGGAGGGGGGTGGAGGGGTGGAGGGGTGGAGGGGAGGGGTGGAGGGTGGAGGGGTGGAGCGGTTGTTTTCGGCACGATACATTGCTGTTGGGATCTGCCCCCGCCCACTAACAGTTGTCACAATTTGAACCACAACGAAAAGCACAAGAAAATCTAGTGGGTTCACCGGTTTTCCAAATATGAAAAATGGACAGCCAGGAGAGCTGAGTGTGAAACCTAAATCTTTGACAAAACAAGCCTCGAAACCATGCTTCCCCTCCCAGCAAAATCGAAATCTGCCGAACGCAAGGCCCAGAACAATTTTCGTTTCCAATTAGTCACTGGGCTGCAACCCTCAACCGAAACATTTCGTTCCATTCCCTCTACGCGCAGCCAGGGATGGCGGGGGGGCCTGGGTGGATGGATCGGACGTGGACCCAGGGGATGGGGCGATTCTGGGTGGTGAGGGCGGGAGGGAGAACGACTGATGCAGCTCCTAAGACCTGGCAGGGCCGTCCAGGGCCTCCCAGGGCCTCCCCAGGCCTGGCACCTTTTGACCAATTTAAAAGGCAACCCTGGGTTCTGCTGTAAATTGGAAGTTTTCGTCTAGTTTGTGCTGTTCCTTGTGGTCCAAATCGCAAAACAGTTGTGCATTTCTTGTGCTGGATTCTTGAGTTTGTGGTCGGGCTTGTGCTCTGGGTTGCAAAACAGTTGTGCGTTTCTTGTGCTTTTTCTTGTGCTCTAGTTTGTGCTTTTTCTTGTGCTGGATTTTGGAGTTTGTGGTCGGGTTTGTGCTCACTTTGGCAAAACAGTTGTGCGTTTCTTGTGCTTTTTCTTGTGCTCTAGTTGGTGCTTTTTCTTGTGCTGGATTTTGGGGTTTGTGGTCGGGTTTGTGCTCTGGGTTGCAAAACAGTTGTGCGTTTCTTGTGCTTTTTCTTGTGCTCTAGTTTGTGCTTTTTTTAAATTAAAACTCAATAGGCTGCTTCCCGGGCCGCACTCGAGAGTCACTAGAATTTTCTAGTTTGTGCTTTTTCTTGTGCTGGAATTTTGAGTTTGTGGTCGGGCTTGTGCTCTGGGTTGCAAAACAGTTGTGCGTTTCTTGTGCTTTTTCTTGTGCTCTAGTTTGTGCTTTTTCTTGTGCTGGATTTTGGAGTTTGTGGTCGGGTTTGTGCCCACTTTAGCAAAACAGTTGTGCGTTTCTTGTGCATTTTCTTGTGCTCTAGTTTGTGCTTTTTCTTGTGCTGGATTTTGGAGTTTGTGGTCGGGTTTGTGCTCCAGTTTAGCAAAACAGTTGTGCGTTTCTTGTGCTCACTTTTGCGTTCTAGTTTGGAGATTTTGGGCAAACTGCTGGCCTGATCCAAATTTCAAGCAAAGTAGTTGTGCTTTTCTTGCGCTCCCTTTTGCAATCTAGTTTGCAGATTTGGCCTGGCCAGATAGCACCCTGGCCCTGCTGGCCTGGGGCCGGGCGCATTCCGAAACTCTCGTCGGTTTTCTGCAGAAATCCTAAACCCTCCGAAAGCACCAAGCATCAATTCTTCAAGCCTCCACTATTTGCCTTTGGGCTAATTACCGAATTGGAACTCTCGGTTCCCGAAATCAAAAACCTGCTGAACAGTTGGGGCCCCCAAGTTTTGGATACTGGATACTCCAAATGCCCAAACCTGGTCAACAGTTGGGGCCCCCAAAATCTGGAAACTCCGAATGCCAACCTTTGGAATCTAAAGCGAGGGCTCCCGAACTCCCAAACCTGCTGAACAGTTGGGGCCCCCCAAAACTGGGAACTCCAGAGGCCTCCAAACAGTTGTGCTTTTTCTGGGGGTGTATATACAAGGAAAGTAGTTTCCCACTGTTACTGGGCGGGGGCAGATCCCAACATTGCTGCGCGGTTCGGTGTGGTGCGGGAACGGTTCGGCGCGGTACTGCGAAATTGTGTTGTTGAAACGGCCATGGTCGTGATTCGTGATATAGTACCGATACTATTTTCAGGGTCTCCGGTTATACTTAATCATAACATGCTATGCCACAACACCCTATTCTAGTTCTGCTATACTATACGCCAAGACGTTGCCCCAACTTATTGCCCCTGCCAGACATTCAACGTTGATTATTCTAGCACCGTCCAAAACCCGTGAAATGATTGCGAAGCACGGAGAATCCGAACGGCCCAAATGCCGAACCGTACAACCGGCAAGCACAAACCCTACTTACTTCAAATCTCGTGACAGCCGTATACAATCGCTTAGGCCTTCTTAGGTTAGAAGCTTTACACGGACATTAAGCCCCTGCCCTGTTTAGCTGCAGAGTCAGGACTTTGAGGCCAGTGGCAGGCATCGACAACGACTGTTTTCCTGCCTTGTGGTGTCGGCGTGGCTTGGCAATTGCAGAAAACTCAAACTCCCATTCTGGACACCAAGCGCCTGGAACGATTTAGGGGAACCTAAAAGACCTTCAAGTGAGGATATACCTTGAGCTATCTAATGACTTCTGGTGATGGTCCTTAACAAGGGCATTGGCCTTTGTTGAAAGACCCTAGGCCCTAGAAGCCCCGTAAACCCGAAACCCCAAGCCCTAAACCCTGAAGACGCTGTGATACTGCTGTTGGACAAAATCCCGCGTACCCCAAGGACCCTAAACTATGGGAATTATGGCATATTCCTTTTTATGGGCAATGCAGATTTTTATCATCAGCGTAGAAAGGCCAGTCTAGGCCCGACAGAGGCCCGAAACTCAAACAAACAAGCCCCAGGTCCTAAGTACAGACTGGGCCGTTGGCCTTACGACCGATTATGGTTCGGGGTTGGGGTTCCTGGGTGTGCAAGAGTTTAGGATGTAGGGCTTCGTGTTTATAGGAAGTTTGTGGCTGATATATACTTGAAACCTTCTTACTACGTCTCTTCATCATCCAAGGAAGAGCTATATGCTACCCGAAACCCCAAGACCACAAACCCTAAACCCCTGAACCATTCATAGCCTACCATTTGGGAGGCAACTCCAGAAACGGGTCTGGTTCGTGAATAGACCACCAACCCGAAAGCCAGACCTGTGCCCCCAAGAACCTATGTTAGGGTTCCCTATCATTTATGGCTTCCTTGTATAGGTCCTTAGCAGGTAGGTTACCATTCGGGTAAAGAGTAACCTTGAACCCTTGAAGCGCATCGGGCTTAGAATCTTAGGCCTATGATATTGGGGGTAAGGGTTTACGATTTGGGGTGTTGGATTTCTGGTCGAGGGGCCTGACTGCAGGGTTCCCAGAGATCCCAATACCCCTTAATTAAGGAATATACCTTAAATCATAAGATTTAGTCCCCTATGATTTAATGTATTCTTTAATTTAGGGGTATTGGGTTCTCTGGGTTTAGGGTTGTTCCAGTCCAATCCCAATCAGGTGCGCCGTTGTCTGCATTAGCTTTATTGCGTTGGCCAAGTCCAGCATGGACGGACGCTTGCCTCCAGCAGCTCTTCCCCGAACCCTAAACTGATAAACCCGAACGAGCCGGTTTAGGGTTTAGGGTTAACTAGCCCCCAAGCCCCAAACCTTAATCCCTGATCAAACCTTAAAACCCTGGACGACAGGATCCCCAATTCATGTTGTACCTGTGCTGTGTCGGGCTCCTTGGGAGTCTGGGTTGATTTTGCTTTGGGAGGGCGTGGCATGTGGCTAGACTTTAGAGTTTGTGGGTTTTTGTTTTAACAGGGTTTTGTTCAGGGGAATCCGAAAAGTCTACTTATGAGTACCCCTAAACCCTGAAGCCGTCTCAGAAGAGTTTAGGGTTCCAGGTACGCACTACCAAAGCTCCGAAACCCCAAACCCTGAGCCCCCACAAGACTTAAGCCTTGCATGCTCTCTTCACAAGGCAGTTCAGAAGCGACAATGGCAATAGTACGATACGTTAAAACGTTCTATATCAAGAATCGCAATAATAGCAATACGTCAATTCCCACAACCAAGCCGACCAGCGGGTGGCTAAGTCTCAAGCAGCTTCCTCGGCCCTTCTCCGATAAACTCTAGCTTCCAAAGGCCACTGCTGATGATAACCCGTATCCCTTGACCGGAGTTCTTCTCGTAGCCCCTGGGAACCTCTATAGATAGTAATCCTCATAGCAAGCCCTATTCTTTGACATGAACTCTCTGTTTCGTGCTGTGGAAGCCTGAGTAATTGCCAATATAAGTCTTCGGGTTGCATTATTCTTAGTGTATTGTAATCTGACGCAAAAAACCCTAGTCTTGTTAGAAAGGCCCCTATACCAAACCCTTCATTACAACAAAAGCACAAAAAGAAGGGAAGTATCTAAAACGCAAACCTTCGCCTGTGTACCCAAAGGCTCCATGTACCTTTATAGTGGATACTTAGGCCTTAAAGGGGTCCCTATATAGGTACTTTAAGGCCTAAGTATACGCTATATGGGTACATGGAGCCCTTTCAAGGCCTGTTGGCGCGGCCCGGGCCCCCCTGGACCTCTGTTAGCGCTTGGGGCCCCCCCACGGAGGCGAAGACGGAGCTCTATTGGGCTTGGGTTTAGGGCTTACAGTTTAGGGTTTGGGGCTTATAGTTTAGGGTTTAGGGCTTATAGTTTAGGGTTTAGGGTTAAGGGTTTTGGTTCATGGTTTAGGGTTTTGGTTTAGGGTGTAGGGTTTTGGTTTAGGGTTTGGGGTTTTAGGACTTATAAGGTTGAGAGGGCTGAAAGGGTTTAGGGTTTACAGGAGGGTTTTGCACGGCTCTACCGGGGCTCGGGTTTTGTTTACGAGGGATTTTGTAGGGCTGCACCGCTGGCTTATTGGGTGTTGACGGCTTTTCTGAAGCTTTGATTTCAGGGTTTTGCTTCTTGAAGGTTCTCTCAGGTGGCGTTTCCCGACAGAAGGTCTCTTTTGTTCCGCGGTTTCGCCCTGTTGTGTTTAAAGGGGTTGTGTTTGTTTTGAGGGTTTGGGGCTTCATTGCTTCATGGAGATGCACGATCCCTTCCCTGGTTTAGCACTATGTCAGATATGTAAATGCACGCCAGGGGGCGGAAGGCGGTCTGGCAAGGACAGCATGGCAGGACGTGGAAAAGGGCATTTTGGGGAGCTGCCATTTCTGCCACAACGAGCAAGAACGGGATGCCGGCAGCCAGTGGATCTGCCAGCAAGAAGTGTCCGTGACTTCCACCGACAGCGAGGAGGAGGCGATGAGCACGGTCGTCTCCATGACGCGGACGCCTGCCAATGATCTGGGATATGCCTTGTGTCGATACCAGGAGTTTGCGCTCGCACACCCTGAGGAAGCTCAGTCCTTGCAGCCGATGCAGGAGCAGGCACAACAGTTTCAGTTGGTGGCCGAGCGAAACTGGTGCTTTTTTATCAAGATGTTCGTGCGGATGTCTTCGACATAGACAGAGCCAGGGTTTGTGCGGGGACTCTCCTTCAGCAAACCAGCTGGGCGCGAGCAGTCGCATCTCGACCTTTTACATGGGTTCTGCAGGGGTTCGACAAGGGTCAACACGGGAGTTTCGGGGTTTGGATTGACACCTTGCCTTGGAGTAGTCCTTCATGACTGCTCGGTCTCCCAGTACAAGTTGAAGGGCTTGGGACATGGGTCTGAATAGTTGACAAGAGTGTCCCCCGAACCAACCCTTTCAAGCATACTACAATTTCCCCCAAATGCTAATTAAAAATTGTGATCAAAGCCCCGAAGGCCAGGGCTTGACGCTCAATCTGGGATATTGACCGGACAAGATTGACAAGGTTGTTGTTTGGGGCTTCATGTGCTGGTCATGGGTTTTCGGACGTTGGTGTTGGTGTTTCAATGTGTTCGAGTATGCTTCAGATCAATCTGTGGATTTGTTAGTCTTTCCGTTGCAGCCAGGCATGTGCTGGCTAGCAGACGGGTCTGAGCTACAAGCTACCATCTAATCATAATCGTTTTTGGGATGCGGGTCTTTGGTTCCGGTTGCCACTGCCGGTATTCTGAAGCTCTGGGCTAGGATAGGCAGGGTCCATGTACCCATGTAATTAGATATTCTGAAGTACCTATCCAAGGGCTATATACTTCAAGAGCAAAGTATACACCACAGAGGTAGATGGGCCCTTTGGATTTGGAGCCGTTCTGACTGTGATGTAGAATGCCAAGCTGTCCGAAATAGTATCGAACCTGCGGTAGCATCGTTAGTTGAATAGGATTAGGCCCCTGGCTCGACCTGATAGTTGATAGCCCCTAGCCCCCAAACCCTCACGTCGGTTTCCTTCCGTTCGGTCTAGCGAAACAGGTATCTTTATGCCAGAGGGGGGGTTTAGCGAGAGAAGTCGATTAGAACATATGGGGGGTTTGGAAACTCCCATATAGTGAAGGCCTCAAGCCCCGTCTCTTTTCCATTGTGTGAGCTCTACACGGCTGGAACCCATGAGCCCCTTTGTCAGAGCCTAGAGTCTTTTGCGGTTGGCGTGACATGATGAACCCTACATCGCCGCCCAAGAACACCGGGCAGACACTGGCAAAACCCCGTGAAACTTGCAAGACAACACCCTCAACTCTTTCGGGTAGCGTCAACCCTAGTACAAGCATCACCAACATTCTGAACAACATCTCTTCAGTGCACTACAACAAAGCTCAAGACCCGTTTCGATACGCTCAGGCCTCTGTCTGGCATACGGACCTAAATTTGAAGCGCCAAAATGCTCATTTGGGCAGTTGTCAAAATTATGGTCCTTTTTTGGGTGCCCTAAATAATAGGTGCCGTAGTATGACCCTAATTTTGACAACCACCCATTTTCCGATTCTTTGGGAGGTGTTTGCCTCCTTGGGTGAGGGTCTCTGCCTGGACGTCCATCGCAGGTTCTGGGCTCAGTCGTCTGCTTCGTTTGAGACTCGTGCGGAAGCCCTAGGATACTGTCGGGGCTTAATCTAATGATTAGAAGAGGGTTTCGTGGGTTCCTTCTTATAATTCTAATGTACCCCAAACCCTGTTCTAATTATGATAAGGCCCCTGCATCACCAGATTATAGGGGTTTAGGAGGTTGCCAGGGTATCTCTAAAGCTTCCTTAAGGGCTACTATGAGTTTTGGGTTACTGGTTTATGCGGGTTAGGGATTAGGGTGCAGTGTCGTAGAGTTTAGGGTATGTTAAGTTGAAGTATACCGAAGCACATGGTAGGTTGCAGGATTATGTGCCCTGTAAAGCTTATATGGGGTATAAGGAACGGTATAAACCTGTGGGTAACTTGGCTTCTAGTTCAGGGCTCCTGTCATGGAGTTAAACTTTACTTTCTGGTTCTAAGTAGGGTGCGGGGGAATGGATCCCTATGATAGTCCGAGAAGGTCCCCCCTATAGTAGTCCCAATAACCCATTCGCCCATTCCCTACTAAGAACCAGACAGGCTTTAGGGTTTAAGGTTTTGGGGCAGCTTGGAGGATTGGGGGAGGGACTCGTTTCGTGGGTGCTACAGGGGTCTATGCATGTACATAATCATAGGGATCCTTAGGGGTGTAGGGGGAGGAGGGGGAGGGGGCCTTAAGGCCCATAATAAGGACTAATAAGGCCTATTTAAGGAAATATAGTCCCCTACACCCCTCCCCCCTACACCCCTAAGGATCCCTATGACATAACTATACACATACAGTATATTATATGCATACATAGATGTCGTACATATGCACACACATGTGGGCGGTTGTCAAAATTACAGCCCCTTTTTGGATCCTTATTATAATACGGCACCTATTATTTAGGGTACCCAAAACAGGGACCCTAATTTTGACAACCACCCACATGTGTATAGCATGTATTCTTCTATCCAAAGTGTCAACAGCAGAGCAGCATCTGCATTTCGGCCGGCAGGTGTTTCCTTTGGCATTCAGGCAAGGTACCCCCATGTACCCCCGCTGCAGACATGCAAGTAACGAAATATTCGTATTGCCTACGAAGCAAATTCACCACTTTCTCTCTCTCTCTCTCTCTGCCGCAATGGCGCCCTAAGCCACCCTAAACAGTAAAATCATCCCTCTCGCTCTCCACACCCCCCTCTGTGGTTCTCGCGCTTTTTTTTTCTATCCCTCTCTCTCTCTCTCTCTCTGTTCTGTGAACTCAGCCTTACCCCAAAACTCTACTTTTCCTGCGATGGTAAACCCTGAAGGCCGCGGGCCCCCCGAGTCCGAAACCTCCCTCACGGCTTGGCAGGTCTGTGCCAGCAAGCTTTAACACCACCGAGTTCGAGGACTGCTGGGTTTAGGGTTTATTTAGGGTTTGGAGTTTGGGGTTTAGGGTTTAGAGGGTTTAGGGTTAAGGGCTTAGGGGGTTATGGGTTTAGGGTTTAGGGTAGCTGTTTTGCTGGGTTACGTTATAGAGGCACTTACAGGCGTCTACGCGCATTTTTGGTTTTGTAATGTATATGCGTTAAGGACACGCTACCCATTTTTCGTGGTGTCTTATGAGGCATTTCGAGGGTGCTAAACTCGGGTTGAATTCCAGGCTCACGGGTTTGGTGGCTTTTGAAGGGGCTTCGTAGAGGTCTTGCTCTTAGTAGCTGAGTGAGTAGGTGACCTTTTGCCTTTTGGGGTTGATAGAATCCTTTAAAAGGGGCCCCCACCCTGTAATAGTGAATATAAGGATCATATCAGGGCCCTAGTATATTCCTATTATACCACTATTAAAATTACAGGGCGGGGGCCCCTTTTAAAAGATTCCTACCATAATGGAAAGGTTAACCTTTTTTGGGCTAGGGTAACTCAGCCCCATGGTGCTTTCTGTGGACCGTAAAGTCTAAACCCTTAAAGCCTAAACCCCCCAAAACCCCTACACCCCTAAACCCCAAACCCTCTAAGAACACTTATATAAATTTTAACACCCAAACGCATCTAAGAACCCCTCAAAAGGACCTGGAGAAAAGCCTCCTGAAAGCGCCCATAGAAGCCTTCCAATGCCCTTGTCGATCAACGGAACACCCCAAAAAAGGAGCCCAGCCCTAAACCAAAAGCAAAAGACGAAACCGTAAACTCTAAAAGAACCCGAACCCCTAAACCCCAACCTTTAAACTCCTAAACCCAAATGAACCCGAAACTCCCAGAGGAGCTCAGGGGTGCCTTTTTTCAGCCAGCTCACGTGGCCTCGGATGGCTCCAGCAGTGACTGCACCTTGACTGGAAAGCATCGCAGGGGGCTTGGTTTAGGGTTTTTGGTTTTCGTTCGGGTTGAGGGTGTTTTATAGGGTTTGGATTTTTCAGGGTTTAGGGTTTTAGGGTGTAGGGTTGGGGTTTAGGGTTTAGGGGCTTTGGGCATGCTTCATATTATGACCAATACCATCAACACCATCATGGTTGTATCCATGTCTTATCTTATGCTTGTAGTGTTTCAGCTATTCTTCATTTGTGTTCCAACATATGTATATATATATATATATACACATATGTATATATATATATATATATATATATACATGTGGTCATTTTTATTTGAACTCGGTCTTATGGGTCCGTGACTGTTGTGCTATTTGCTGCTATTCGTTCTGTGTTAAATAGTTCCGTGATTAAGCCATTGTCATGACTCTCCTTGTAGTTATTGTTATTGGTAGGTATCACCGGTTTCGGCACTGTTACAACTATTATTGTTCTTAGTACTACTGTTAAGATTCTGACGATGGTGATTATATTAAACCGGCGCTAAAGAACTCATACAATTGATTCTGCTGTGGTTTTCTAAGGTTCAGTGTAGAGTTTCCCGCGGGGTTTTGGTGCTTGGGAGTCATTGGGAAATATCAGGTCCATGTCGTATGGCTTCATACAGTTTAGGCCCAGGTAGTTCCCGGCTTTTGAGACTGAAACTTCATGCCAAAAGCCAGGGTCGAACAGAATCAGGTGTTCATGGTTAAATATATGTTTGTTGTTTGCGGGTTCAGGGTTTGGTCCGGGATTCGGGGTTAGCTTCGGGTTCAGCGCTTACACATACACATGTGTATGTATATATGTATGTATGTATGTATGTATTTTCGAACGATACATACAACTGAACTTAAGGCTTAGGGTTCATGATTTAGGGATTTAGGGTTTAGGACTTGTTTTGTGGGTACTACCGCGCGGCCTTAGCAGCAGTCCATAACAGGGGTACAATGAATCATCATAAATAAATAAATAAATAAACAAATATATATATATATATATATATACTTTTAAGTGAGGGGAAGTATCAACGGTATCTCAAACACTTCAGACTTTGAATATGCCACTTGGTTCTACAGGGGAGTGCGCCTTGCACAGTGTAATCCAGGCTACTTAAAGGCCCATGGGACTTAGCAAGTAAGGTTATAAGTAGGTTATAAGTAGGATAACCCCACTTAGGGGACTTATAACCCCAGTTATAACCTACTTACTAAGCCCCATGATCCTTCAAGTACGGTAACCTGGTCACCCGGCCATCTAGATCCCAAGCTAGGGCTCAACAGAGCAAGTCTCGAATCCTAAACCTTGTGTGTATGCACATATATATATATATATATATACATACATATGTGTATATGTGTATATTTTTTGTTCAATGAGGTTCGAAGAATTACTAAGATATACATGTAGCCATGCATTTTATGTAGGTACACATATGCGCATCAGGGTTCGAATTGTTATTGAGAGCATCCCCTTGCAATCGAAGGTCTCGGGAGATTTGATCTTACGGGTTTGGAGTTTAGGGATTAGGGTTTGGGAGCGGTCCCACCTCGCGGCCGTGCGACGTGGGTTTTCGGCTTTTTAGGGTGTAGGGTTTACGGCTCGGTTCCGCTGTGAATCACCCGCCCACACACACACACACACACCATGTCCCCATGCGAGTGAATTAGCCAGTTACCGTACCTTGAGCCTTACAACCTCCTCCTTTAACTCTGATAAAGCTGTTGACACGCACAAAGAATCGCAAATGGAACCCTGTGGAAGTTTCAGAAAACTCCATGAACTGCTATGACTCCCGTAGAAAGGCCAGGCGCGATGTGCGGCTCTGAAGGACTGCACCGGCTCCTGGGAAAAAACCATGATTAATTATGAATCCCCAGGCGCCCCAAAGTAGTTCCTTTTTGGGTGTGTCCTCTCTTTTCGGTTGGGGACTCTAATATACTACCCAAAACGGAACTACTTCGGGGCCCCTGGGTATCCCTATACCTTCTTGGGCTTCATCATATTTATGTGCTTTTGGGGGCCCGCAGACTTTTATTGATCTAGGCGCACTTTCTTTGCCCAAAGTGTCCAAAGTACCTATATAGTAGAATGTAGGGTTTCTATATAAGGAGTTACTATTATGATTTGGGGAAGCATGCCCAATAGCATGCCCAATAACAATACTTAGAACCCCAGGTATCCTTATAGATCCCTTGCAGGAACACTGAAAGGATCCCTTAAAGGAGCCCTAACCCCCTATCTAACAGTACCTGGGACCCTTGGGGCGGAGAATCCTTTCACGGTTCCTACTTGGAGGGTCGGGGGACTTAGTAACTGGTTATTTTAGGGACTTATTAAGTACCATAACCCCAAAATAGGGTCCCATTTAGGGTACTTATAAGTCTACTTACTAACTACTTACCAAGTCCCCTAAAGACCCCCCAAGTATAGAGGCACCTCCCAGTGATTGAGGTCTGCGGGTCTGACATCCTAAAGGGCTTTTGGGTTTGGGTGTGTGTTGGGTTTTTCGGGTTGAGGGTCAATAGACTTCAGGGTTTAGGGTTCTAGGGCTTTCGGTCCAGGATTCTAGAGTCTAGAGTTCGAGGGCTTAGGGTACATTTGGGGGCTAGTTGGCTGAGGGAGGTGCCCGAGGTCTTCCAGAACATGGGCCGTTTCGGGGTACTCTACGCGTGATCACAAAGTTCCGGGTCCTGGGATGCTACAAGGGGAACTGTCGGGGATACTTAGAAGGTATATAAGCGTCACTATCATGGTTGCTGTATGGGCTCCTATAGGGACTGGAAGAGTGGTTACGTCTCACGGACAATAGGAGGGTTTAGGGCCTCAGCGTTTAGGAGTTTAACAGTTTAGAGCTTGTGGGCATCGAGCTTGAACGGCTTTAGGTCTTTGATGATGTAGGTACGGACTCTAGCCGTTAAGTTCGCCCAGGATGTATTGTAGAGGGTTCTGGACAAGGGTCTATCAAAGGGACGACTCAGTTTTCGACAAAGGCCCGATCTGTGTGGTTTCATCGGAGTAATCAGAAGTATGCAAGTACTTCAAAGGCTCATGGGTACTTACCCAATGAGCCCAACATGTTCTCGAGTCTGGTGCTTCGATCGGACCATTCTAATCGCTCCCTATGTGCTTATCAAGCCTTGGAAAAGCAGATCGTGGGTTGCTTAGAATAGAGCAGTCACAGGATTTGCATCGTAGAGTTCATAAAATGGAGCAACATATTGTACTGCTTAGGGGTCAGAATTTGTGAATCAAGCAGCCACCTCGTGCTCTAGACTCAAACCATCAACCCCCCAACCCGTTAATCATCCTCTAAACCCTAACATCCTAAACCCTGACCCCCAAGCCCTAAACCATCCTAAACCTCTTTACCCCTAATCCCTGAAAAAAGGCTACGTCACCTTCTATGCAGACACGGCCGACCAGCCGCAAAGCGGCTGCTCGCTGATTCAGGAGGCACTGTCTGCGTCAAAAAATGGCCTTAAACCCCAAACTCTTGTCATGGTTGGGTAACATTTTACATGTTAACGGGTACTTAATTCCCAATTAGGCACAAATGCATATCACATGTATATACATATAACTATATACATGTATACTGCATATATATATATATATATATATTCATGTTGTTTCTCATGCTAACCCAACCATGAACCAGACCCTGCTTAGCCATGATTTAGCACAAGGGCTCAGTAAGGCGGCCTCTGCGTTAGAAAAACTCTATCCCTTTTTGGGCCTCCAGTTGCCTAGGTATTTTGAAGAATGGGTTACGGGGGGATATTATACATATGTGGTTAGTAGCAGCCTACTATGTAAGCAACCACCCCCAGGATTCTCTATGCTTGCTAGCACAGAGGTTCTGCTCCCGTTCTGAGTGTTCTAAGCTTCAGGGCGTTCCAGACTTCCGGCAGTCGCGCAAAGAGTGCTCATGTCTCCGGGTTGCAGAGGCACATGCATCCAGTCACGACGGCAGATACCGTTCCCATATACACTTGGACGTATGTGTACGTCGCGAGAGAGGGACAAAGAGAGAGAGAGAGAGAGAGAGACAGACAGCGGGAGAGAGAGAGAGAGAGAGAGACAGAGAGAGATATGTGCGTGTGGGTGTATACACATTACATACAGGTAATTATATGATATGTATACATGTACAGGTTCGAAAGTATAGGTATACTAAGGCCCAGATCAAGACCCCGACCCTGAACCCTCACCCGTTGACGGCCAGTTCTCAGAGCTAGTACACCTTTGTACGATAGTTTTCTTGTTAGCATACGTGTATGTAGGCATCTCGTGTTTACATATGTATATCTATATATATATATGCAGAGCGAGAGAGAGAGAGAGAGAGAGGAAGACAGCTAAAGATCCGGAGAAAGAAAAAGATCAGGAGAAATGGAAAGATAAAGCAAATATAGATATGTGAGAGCACGTAAACGCATGTACCTTGTAACGACACCCGGAACTTGAATTTTGAGACTCCCCTAAAACCCTAAAGTCTGTACACCTTAACACATTGGAACCGAGAGGACGATGGCTATCCCGCAGCGGGCGATGGCAACAGCAGCTATCATTGTTTCTGGAGGCATTCCCGCATTGGCAGCTTGCGGCCGGAATGACGGCTTTGACATTTAGAGTTCAGGGGTTCGGACCTGGTCACAAAGTAAGGATCACGGGGCCTAGCAAGGAAGCAGGCTAGTTTGAAGCATTGTTGTCTCTAGGATACCCCAGGTTAGGGCATGTATAGCCCCTACATTCGGCGTGACCAGCGAGGCCAAACATCCGTCAGTCGCAAATGTACACCCGTTGCCCCCAAAGCCAAAACCGCGAATAACCGACCTTGTTCATTAAGGACTTGTTTTCTACCGGAACAATAATTTATAGGGTCCAGGCAAAGCCTAAGTCGTACCAGAAGCCTGAACAAGATCTTGGGCTTTGTCTTTAGCTTTTTGCTTGAGCCGCCGGGCTCAGAAGCCTACCACCAAAATCTCAAACTATGATCCTTAAACGTAGGGCTGCAGGTAGTTATCTATTTATACTGTGGTGCCTGACTGCCTGAATCTCCAACTGCCCTAAACCCCAAAGCGCAAGAGTTCGGCTCCTGCACAGGCATCACTTTCCTCACAATAGCGCCGCGGCCCTTGGACGCCAGCATGCGCAACGGGTTGACGGTGGCTTTATAGCGTCTGTATTAATTTTGTGATGCGGTTTTCGTAGGGTTTATGGTTTGGGCCACATATAGGCTTTCTAAAAGATCGGCGGGTAGTTGTGGGCTTTTGAGGTTTGGATTTGGGCATGCGAACTGGGTCCAGCATACGAACTCGAGAGGCTGAATAGAGGAGGCACCTTTAACCTTTGTGGGTTCAGCTGATTCCGAGTGGCCCTCCTTCAGAAGAACTTGCTGAGCAGCACCCATCTTGAGAAGCACCCCACTGCACCCTACTCTTCGCCAAGTTGCTGGCAGCTCCCCTGCAAGTCTCGAACTCAAGCCCTGTAGCTTCTACGGTTGCTCCTTGTACTTGCACTGCCATGCCGGAAGCTGGCTGGACAAAGATGTCGGCCGAGGAACACAAGTGGGCAAAGAACAGCCGTCCGAGATCGCCGACCTGCTGGGGAGGGACACATCATCAGTTACCCGCCTGTTGTGTGCAGAGGCCGTGAAGAAGCACGGCCGGCCTAGTGCACTCACCAAAGCTCAGATCGACTTTTTGGAGCGCAAGCTTGATCAGATGACCGTTAAGGCGGACGGGCGACACACTGTGACTGTGGAGATGTTGCAGAAAGCCCCTTCTGAAAACTTCCCAAGCCCATCCAGGGTGACCGCGAGAGAAGTTTTGGCTTTAGAGTCTGCGTGGGTTCAGCGTGTAGGACTTAGGACGTAGCACTCGGTTGGAGGAAGATCCTTTGCAGGACAACTCACATCACTAGACCTTAATAAGTCCTCAAACCCCAACCCCTAGCCCCAAAACTCTGCAACCCTGAGCCGGCTAAGCCCTAGTACTTAAAGGCTCATGGGGCTTAGTAAGTAAGGTTATAAGTAGGTTATAATTAGGATAACCCCACTTAGGGGACTTATAACCCCAATTATAACCTACTTACTAAGTCCCATGATCCTTCAAGTATGCATTCTATGCCATCACTTTGGAACCTTCCGGAACCCACACACCGGCTCGCTTGAGGCCGGGATCTACGATCCGCCTCGCCAGAGAGTTTCCTCCATCATTTGGACCTACTGGCAGGACATGCACCAGGCGCTTTGCACGCTACTTTGGGGTTTATGAACTTGATGGTTCGGGCAGTTGTATTACATGTATATCAGGAGTCAATCCCGTTACGGCCCGCACCTCATCGTCGACCTTAGCCCCTTAAACGCTACATCCTAAACCCTACCATCATACACCGAACTTCCTACTGCTGATGGACAAAATCTTGCATTTCCCTGAATAAGGAATATACCATAGTTCCCATAGTTTAGAGTCCTTAGGGTCATGCAGGATAATCTCCATCAACAGTACTACCCCTTTGCTTGTGGTTCTGATTTGGATGCTTACTTTCCAAGCCTTCGTTGACCCTCGAGCTAGTTTCCAGGAGTGCACATATTATAGTACCCTTATAGATCCCTTATAGTAACCATTGTAGTCCCTTTAAAAGGGGCAGATATCACAGTACCCTTATAGATCCCTTATAGTAACCCTTATAGACCCTTTGAAAGGGAACCTTACTGTAATTATTAAAGCCCCTAAGTTGAGGTCTTTGATTTTGCCTTGTTTCCTTCATGACCGTTTCCGAAAATCGGGGACCCGAATATCGTATCCTAAATAGTAGGATCCTTAGAATATGGACCCCAAAATAAGGCACCCCTAATTCTCGGAAACTCCCGTCTCACTCCGGGGTGGAGAAGGGCTCCAGCCTTCACAAACCCCTACTAGGTTACTTGGAGGGGCAGGGGACGTAGTAGGTACGGTTGTAAGTAGGGTTATAATTGGGGTAACTCCATTTAGGGTACTTATACCTCTACTCATAGCCTACTTACAAAGTCCCCTGCCCCTCCAAGTGGTGGCTGCCGGCAAGGCCAATAGCTTGAGCGTGCTCTTCGAACTGTTCCTGCGCGTGTCGTAGCCGTAGCAAGCCAAGCCAAAGACCCGGAGCCCGAAACTCGACGAAGCAAAAACCGCGAAGCCTCGAACCCTTGAAGCGACCCTCAAGTGCATGAATAAAGCACCAAATATCCTGCTTTAGGAGGAAACGAACGCCACCGTACGTCTTCGGGCCTTCCTGGACTTGTGCCACCAGTCTTGGAGGCTTACTCAATGATCAGAATTCTTAGATAGCCAACGAGGGAAGTGTAAAGTTTTTGTCTTTGTACAACTGGTCTATGTTAAAAAGTTTGAACTTTTTTGGGTCGGGTTATTGAAGAAGAGAGAATCGGGTTCCTCTATGGGTTCGTTGAAGGGTTTAGGGCTTAGGGTTCCTCTAAGGGTTTCGGGTTTAGGGTTCCTTCAAGGGTCTGGGGTTAAGTAGGGTTTAGTTCCTTTGTGAAGGGTTCTATATAGGGTTGCTATTAGGTTAATATTAGGCTTTAATATAGGGAAGTCAATCATTAGAATTGGGTTCTGAATTTATTGCTGTATAGTATACATACAACATGTACGACCGAGCATACTATTAAGGAGCCCGAAGCAATAGTATTGGTACTCATTCAGGCTGCCACGTTATGGACTTACGGCGTGCTCGGGTGGGGGGATTGGGCTTTGCTGACAGTCTCCGTAACAGCTGCTGCTTGTTGGCTGCCTGGTATTTTTTAGTATGGGATCCGACTGACAAAGATTGGCTAAGTTAAGTGTGCCAATGGTACACTTTTCCTGCGAAACCTATCCGAAAGCAAAAAGGGATCCCCTAAACAGTTTTGAATTGGTTTGTGGCTGAGCCAAGCACCCCGAAACCCTGAGGGCAGTCCAGGGCCTTAGGATGGACCCTTCATGTATGGGAGTTTCCGAAAATAGGGGTACCGTATTTTGGGACCCTTATAATAAGGATCCTACTATTTAGGGTGCTATATTAGGGTCCCCTCTTTCCGGAAAGTCCCATATGTGATGCATATGTGATGTCATGTCGTCGTCTATTGTTCTTGATTTGTCTGAAGTTGGCGAGCTCCAAAAGGTCTGGTCCAAATCCCAGGAAATAGCACTGCCTTTCCATTGTCTGACTGGGTATGCTTAGGCCTAGGCCATCTCAGCAGCAACCGGTTTGGGTTGCCGCAAAAGCGCAGGCGAATATATCTATATCTCTCTCTCTCTCTCTATATATATATATATACACATACATACACTATAATACATATATATATATATATGTGTGTGTGTGTGTTTATTCATTCATATTTATATTGATGTATGGTGTGCGTGAAGGCCGACGTTGTAAAGGCACCGACTTCTTGGAGCTCTTCGTAAGTTACCTCGACGTGTTCCGTCTCGAGGCGTTCGCCCTCGGAGCGGCCCTTGAGCCAGACGATGCCCCAGCACATCCAGGCGGAAATCGAACGACGGGGCTCCTTGCTGCATGAGCTGCGTGAGAATGAGGGCGTCGCCGGCGTCGTTGGTCCAGCCAAAAGGTGGGTTTCAACCCACACAGGTCTGCAGCGCAGGCCGGTGGGCAGACATGGCCGCCGGCCCTGGCGAACAACGCTTGGTTTACGACTGCGACAGCACGCGAGCGATGCATAGGTGAGCCGCCAGAGCCACACGGTCCGTGAGCCCGAATCTATGTCTATGTCTACGCGTAGATAAAATAAATGTAACATATTGTTTCCTACGTTTCCTTACTATGACCATGATAGTTCATGTTGCCTCACAGCCCTAGTATTCTTCATCACGGCCCTCTGTTAATGCTGAGGCTCAAGCTGTCAGAGCCTTTCACCAGGTTTCGGGGTAGGTTGTGAGAGTTCTTACTAGTAAATGATGTGACCTTTTTCTTTTGGCGTGCTATAATCTTTAGTTCTGCAAGGAGACTGTACAAGTAAGAACAAGCTTTCCTAAGCCTGTTTCGATCACCAAAATTACGAGGCATCAGACAATATAGGTTGCTCTGAACGAACCTACTTGTTTCATAGTCACATGTTACTTTCGTGCGCGGTTGTTCACCTGCATATACATATATATATATATATATACACATATTGTTATATGTATATGCATACGAACTTACGCATCCCCATTTCCATGGCATGGTCGTGCTACCATATACGTATTTCTGTCTGCTTACCATCGAATCCGTCGTATGTAACGATCCGCCTGCGCACGGTCCCTGAAGACTCTTGGCGGCTTCGGAGCAACCTAGAAGGAAACAACCGGTTATGGCACGTATCTAGGATGCCCAGTAGTACCCTTATTCCCTTTTTGTAGTCCCAGGTTCCTTATAAAGTTACCCAATACCAAGAAGAGAGTTTTATTCTTAGGTTACTGGGTATCCTAGGTATATAGGGGCCTTAGTAAATGGTATAGAAGGAAACACACCCTTGTGGCTTAGATAGTGAACGGGGGATCTTTAAACTTTTTGGCCCTATATATTAGCTCTATGGTAGAAAGTTTGAGCTTTTTTGGGGGCCCGGCTGTTGAAGAAGAGAGGTGGCACTAATATAGGGGCCTTAATAAATGAGAATAGGGTTTTGGGGCCATTCTACTTAGTATAATGGCCCCCAGTTCTCCTGTGCTTTAGTACCCTGTAGATCCCTTGTAGAACCCTTCAAAGAACCATAGAACCCTTTGAAGAACCATAGAACGCTTTAAAGAACCATAGAACCCTTTAAAGAACCAGAGAACCCTTTCAAGAACCCATGAAGGGAGCCATTCAGGGTACTATACTAAGGAACGAGCCCTAGGTCCGATAGGGTTTAGGGTTTTGGTATTTTAGGGTGCCTTTTCCCTAAACCCAGGGAACCCAAGGGGCCCCTTAAATCAAGAATATACCCTAGGGTTCCTTTAAAGGGATCTGTAGGGTGTAGGGTTTAGGGGATTTTAATACTCCTTATTAAGGAATATACCTTAAACAATAGGGGGCTTTATATTGTGATTCAAGGCATAGTTCTTAATTAAGGGGTCTTGGGATCTCTGGCAACCCTAGTGGCTCTAGTAGTCAACGAGTTCGCATTTCCTGTTGTGGTTTCTTTACAGGAGAACCTCACGGACGACCTCCGAGAACCCGAGACGCCAAGACCCAAACACCTTCAGAGGCAGCTGAATCCTGGCTGGTATGTGCGAATCCTGAACCAGGACAGCTTGAGAAGTTGAAACTCCCTTCCAGTTTTGCAGCTCCCTGTTGGCACTGGAAAATCAGCAACCCCACAACAACCCAAAACTCTTAACGCTAACTCCTAGACAAATAATGAACTAACAAATTAAAGTACAGAGCAATACAGACGTATAGAGGTCTCAACAACTAGCGAAGTCTGTTCCCCAATAGTCCCTGTCGAGTTTTGGTTTATCACCCCCACACCCTATTTCAGGCCGCCGCAGGTACATAGAGCCTTAGGGTAAGATTAACAGAGCGAGAGTTTGCCTGATGCAGCGCTTCCTCGGGGCCCAGGTTTGACTCCTTGGGTGTAACTCTCATGTTTTTGTGTTTGTGATTTTATGTTTTCTTTTTTTCGGGCGCGGAGGGTGAGGGTTTACGGTCTATAAGGGCTTGAAATGTTTCATTAGGTTCCCTTAGGTGCTGCTTGGGGCCCTGATCAGAACCAGAGATTTCGAAAATGCATTGTTGTGGTTTATGAATGCTAGTTCCCTTCGCATTCTTACAACTAATGCGTCCTGCACACAGGACACTATCTGGCAGTACCTCCTCAAAGAGGAAATGCCAGAAGGCGGGGTGAAACATCCCGCAGACCGTAAACCTGTCGGGTGCCCGGGGCTGTTTTGAAAGGGGCTTGTCAATCCCTTCGAGGACTTTGCTAAAGACGTTTTTTTGTGGATCCAGGTATACATAAGAGTACAAGTACTCCACGCTGTCGGACTGGGGTCTTTTTGAAAAGTATGGCCTGTTTAGATGTTTTGTGTTCAGGGTTTGTAGCACGTAGGATGTTGGTTTCGAGGGTTGAGGGTGTAGGGTCAAAGGTTCAGAGGCTCGGCTTCAGGCTGGATATCCGAAATGCCGTCGGCTTACCTTCGCACACCTAGCCCTCGCTTCTCGAACGTACTCTTGTGTGTTCGTAGAGCTGAAGACTCCTGGTGCTTGCGGGAGCTTCGGACATGCGATGCTTAGCTGAATGTGATGATGACGATGAAGCTTAGCTGAAGGTGATGATGATGATGATGACCATCTTCTGATGCTTTCCTTCCCGACATTTGATGATCGTTTGAGACTGCATAAAGGTTTAATATATAGAGCTGATGGCGATAACCTTACGAGCATCTTCTGATGTTACACCCCCTAGCTTAAGCCCCTTTGTTGTGAGACTCTGCACCAGTTTAAGCTGCTTGGCATTCGCAGGCTTCGACGATCTGTCGATTCAGCACAAGTCCGATGCGATTCGCTTGGCCCTACTGGCTTCTGGGCAGAGTTTTTCCGAAGGGTTGCTCGGGTCTTGCCCATGGCCCTGCTAAAGCCTAGCCAAGTGGGTGTAGCCCCATGGCACAGGTATGTTTAAGACAAAGCCAGAGGGGTAGCAGCCGCAGAGTTGGCCTAGTAGTAGAGTAGGTAACCTTTAATCTTTTTTTGGGTAGTATAGTCCCTATATGATCCCTATGTAACCAAAACGGTTAACCTTTAGTTCCCCATGATACTCGACATGCAGGAGGATCCCTAAACCCTAAACCCTTTATAGAACCCTTCCAGATCCCTTTAAGGAACCCTTAAAGACATGTAGAATTGGCGCTTCAAGATGAGGGGCTGTGGGCCGACAAGGCGTCGCATGTTTCAGATTTTCCGGGCTTCTGGGTAAGGGTGCGTCACTATAAAGGGGCCTTAATAATTAGAAGAGGGTTTAACAATTAGATTAGGGTTTGGAGAATACTGTACTATAATTCTGGTATGGAAACCCCCGAAATAGTATTGGTAATTAATCATTTAGGCCCCTAGGAAAGTCATCAGTGCAAGGGGGTCAACACGTAGTTCATCATCGTCATCATACATGTTACCATATTCTGTTGTATTAGATTACCAGGACCCTCCTTGTACCCTCAAGTGGGGGTATATGGTCCCAAATAATGGATTCTTAGGGTCTGATAGAGGGTAGATGGCGGGTCTAGGTACATTATGAAGTACTCTATGATATTATGGTAGAGTGTAGAATATTATAACATCTTTGAGCAGCAAAGTCGTAGGGTTAAAACAGGATTTTACATGTGAGAACAGCAGGGTGGGAAAAACTGTTACGAAGACTCCTCCTTCGTAGAAGACATAGGTCCCTAAACCCTAAACATATGCCTAAGGGTCCATGTACCTAAGTTGCACATACTGATGGCCCGAAAGTGCCTCATGGGGATTACTTCAAGGCCAATGCATATACTACAGGAGTACATGTCAGTCTTGCTTTATTGAGGATCCGCTGTTGCAGGCTGAATGAAGCCCAAGAGTCGGTTTCGGCTGCACTCCCTCAATGAACACATTATTCGTAGGGATACTTATATAGAATTATTTTTTGGTTCCTATAATCCCTAAGAAACAGCTGAAATTAGAATTTTGCTAGGGGTCTAAGTTCAGTACAGTATATAGGACTCGCATCACTTCGAAGCTCAGGAGGCTAAGTAACCAGGTTCCAGAGCAGAGTTCTCACATGTGCCGGAACTGCCCAGACTTGTTCGCCGTGTCGACTTACTATGTCCTCGGATCCAACCCTACTTTAAGGATCATGGGACTTAGTAAGTAGGTTATAATTGGGGCTATAGGTCCCCTAAGTGGGGCTATCCTAATTATAGGTGAGAGCGCCTGGTGCGCGTCCTGTACGTCCTCTCACTTTTCTTGGGTGGGGGGGGTCGGGGGGGCTAATTCCGGCCAGTCCCGACCCTGAACTCCCAGAACTGCGGATCTGTGTCGCAGGCAGGCCCAAGCTCTAGTTCTGATCGAAGCCATGTTTCCTTAGGGTTATATGCCGAACACACCGGTAATTACGGTGTGTTCGGCCCTTGCTACAACCCACGTCGCCCAAACCATCCATGGGTGGTCCATGTTATTGACGCAGAGCATCCATGGGTCAACCATGTTAATGTCCACTCAGACCAGATCTCATTGACGCAGAGCATCCATGGTCAACCATATTAACGTCCACTCAGACCAAGTTTGCGCAGCGCTGTGCTTGCAAAAGTGGCTTTTACTGCAGCGGCAACACCCTTTTCGCTAAAACGATCGACCTGTCACAGGGATTCTCCGCCTCTCCTAGCAGAACTTTTTAGTCATAATACACGTTTTCCCTAGGTTTTAGCACATTGCCTGTTTCAGCTGCGCCTCAAAACGCCGGTCACGTACCAGGCGCTCTTACCTAATTATAACCTACTTATAACCGTACTTACTAAGTCCCATGAGCCTTTCAGTAAGCCCTACACCCGAAACCCTTAAGGTCAAGTATGGCGGTGTCTGGCTGGATGCCTCAACGCTGCTGCTTCAGCCACTGAGTACCTGGCTCCCGCAGTCACGTCTTTGCCTTTGCGGTTGGCTCCACCTAAACTGCGGTTTATAGGGGTTTAGGTTTTGGGGATTTAGGGGTTTAGAGTTCAAGGGCGGAAAAATTGTCACCATGCTTGCAGTTTTCGGGATGTTGCAGGGACCGCAAAATCATACTGCGCGAGCTTTCTGGACTGATTGAGCCACTGCATCACGTTTGGCCTTCCTGAATCGCCCAATGCTGCTGCTGCTGCTCTTGTACCCTAAACCCTAGAACCTAAACTCCCTACACCCCAAAACCCTAAACTCCCTAAAACCCTAAACCGTAAGTCCCAAAATCCTCAAACCTCTTGTTTTTGGTAGTGCCTTGCCAAGAAAAAACTAATACAACGAAAAGGCTGCCCCTAGCATGGCTATGTGGGAGTGTCCGAAAATTAGGGGTACCTGATTTTAGAGTCCTTATAGTAAGGATCCTACCACTTAGGGGTACTATATTAGGGTCCCCCATTTTCAGAAACTCCCACGTAGGCAACTCTGAAACTTTGAAAATGCCCGATAGGCCCTGAAAACCCTAGAGCCGAAGCTCGACCACCCCAACACCCTAAACCCTCGAACCCGCAAACCCAAAGCTGGGCCCTAAACTCTACCTAGAGGCTCATACCCTACCCCTTTTTTCAGGGCGCCTACTTTCAGTTAAGTAACAGATCCTAACCATAAAAACTAGGTATCCTTAAAAAGGGATAGGGTATGAGCACCCAGAGCCCCAAACCGCTACAGAAGGCTTAAGGCGCAGCTTGGGTTTCAGCCCGCGCATGCGAGGATCTCATGGCTCGACCTAACATAGCCCTAAGGGTCCATGTACTCGTATAGAGATACATGGGCCCCAAAGTACCTATATAGGGACTACATTAGGGCCAATGTATATACTATATGAGTACATGGACCCTTAGGATAGGATAACATAAGGTTGATGATATAAATCCTGCATTACCTTAGGGGCCCTATGCTATGGGACTTATGGTACATTCCTTATTCTGGGTAATGCAGGATTTATATCACCAACCGTAGGAGTCGCAAGCGCGACTGATATTATTCCTTCCGGTTCCTTATAATGGTTGCGAAACACGAACAAGCAAGCTATACAGCCTGTAGAGTTGGTCTGTCGAATTCTACAGAATCCTGAACCCTGCAAACCCCACGTAGAGTCCGGATCTATTTCAATTGCAGCTCCCGTAGAAACCTCATCGAACCCAACCCTAGACCCTAAACAAAAAGCGGTGGAATCCTGAGCCCTATTCGCTACTTCAAGAACCAAAGGCAACGTGGTGAACATGGTGGATCCTTCCCAGCGCATTTTCTACGTGCCTCGGTGTGCCAGCGCTTGTTTTGCACATACAGCCGCACTTTACATGGGGTGTAATTGGTTCCTGCATTGCGGAATTTGCCTCAACAAATAAGCCTCAATCAAGGGCTGTTGGGTTGTTGTCTGAGCCCATGAAAAGTTTGCTTGGGGTTCGAGGCTCAAGACATGAGGTTTTAAGGGTCTAACGGTTGGGGATTAGGTTCAGGTTTTAGGGCTAGATTTCCTCTCACAGTTTAGAAGTTTAGAATTGGGGAGGGGGCTCTTGTCTACTGTACGGATCCACTCCAATTGAGGATCCTGGTATGCAGGACGGGTTTAATAAAGTTGAACACTTCGCTTTGATATGCCGATGAGAATTTCATGTTCATGGAACCTTCAAAGCATAGAACTCAAAGCATACACGGGACGGAAGAATCACTATCTCTATTGCTTACACCGCAAGATCACTATAGTATCAAACCACCCTAGCCTAGTCAATCAGTATAGTCACGGAAAAAGTTCATAGCACTGGACCCCTACAGGCCTGGACCTTACACTCCAAGGCCTATTGCAGATCCTTTATAACACCCTGCAGCAAGGTATTCGGATTCCTTGTAGAAGGAGTCTCAAATCCCAAAATTTGGGTACTTTGGAGCTTTATCATCATGCAACCCTTCAGGGAACTCTATCTATCAACCTCTGCCGAATCCTAAACAAACAGAAGACAGCCCGACACCACCCGAAACAACCTGAGCCCTGAAATCAGAAGTCCACGAATCTTAAAGCCAGATCATGTATACATTTGAGCATTTACCCATACTGTTCCTTGTTGTTCCTGAATTTACGTCAAATGAACACTAACACGCACCCCAAAAAAAACATCCCAACCATTGGGGCCGCCTAAACAGCATATTAGAGGTCGATACTTCGGCCCACATTTCTGGGCATCAGCATAAAGAAACACTTAGAAACCACAAACGCCCTCGATTGAGGAATGCGCTGTGACCTGCAGAGAGGTCTTCAACAGGGCCTAAGGCATGATCTGCCTTAAACCATGAATCCGAATATGCTTTCAGACAGGGCTTTAGGGGTTTCCATGGGTAAAAGGAGGGACCCTTTAATAAGGACCCCTAGGTATATGCCCTTAATATAGCTGTTATATACCCATTATATAGCCCATTATAGGGTAGGAATCCCCATCAAGGGTCCCGCCTTTTCCCCTTTGGGGGTTTCTGGTAGCTCAGAATTTAGCAGCCCCTCGAAAGCAAGGCGAACGAGAACATTATCAACCGAGAGCACCTTGGCCTGTGCAATCGCGGTGCAACTGGTATATTGCATATAGGTGGTTGTCAAAATTAGGGTCCCGGTCCTTATAAGGGTTCTGGGTTTAGGCTTAGTCTAGGGTTTAGGGTTGGGTGGTTGTCAAAATGAGGGTCCCTTTTTGGGTCCTTAATATAATACAGCACTTACTATTTAGGGTATCCAACAAGGGACCCTCATTTTGACTACCCATATGGTTTCAAACAGGTTTCTCAGGCTGTCTGGTTCAAAGACCCACGTATGGCGAAGACCATGATTAATGGCTGTCTGGCTCAAAAGACCCATGTATGCATATACACATATGTCTATACACATACCCACAGATCTTGCTCTTGCATACTGAGATTTGTGTTTTGATTCTTTCTGTTTGATGTTTGGAACTGGTTTGTCTTAACCCCTAGCTTGTGGGAGCAGGTACGCATGCAAAATCTCACACACACACACACATGCGCGCGCACACACACACACACACACACGCACCTGGCACAGAGGTGTGTGGAAAATTTGCTCCATCAGCAGAAGTGTTCATTCTGGCTAATTCAAGGACCTGCTAGCAGGTTGTTTGTCAGGAAAGCAGACATTTGTCTACTTAAGAGCCCAAGCAATGTCAGGTACTTGTAACCACGGGTGTAACCAGCTTGACCATACGTAATTACTCTAGCTACCTAGACCTAGGAGCCATCATGCATATAGAACCTTAACGTGAAACACAAACCGATGCATGCAATCCGGTCAGCTATGCCTTTAGAAGACGTCGTTGAGTCCGTCCTTCCAGCCACTGCGAAGGTTAACTTTTGACAAGGGCTGTTAGGACAAACCAACGAGTTTCGGGTTTGCACGAACCCTAAACCCAAAACCCTAAATCCTAAACCCCACACCCTAAAACCCCAAACCCTAAACCCTAAAACCCTAAACCCGAGAGTTAACCAAGTGCAGTTCAGACCTCAACTTGAGCCTTTGCTTGTGTGGGGGCTTTCACGGTTGAGGGTTTTGAGTTGGGTGGTTTTGGCGGACCCTTGAAGATTGCAATAATACTACCAATACTACTCATAATAATGATAATAGCAGTAGTAATAATTTCAATGTTACTACTAATCTGTTCATTTCAATTCGGATTCAAAAGCCGCTTACTGTAGCGGTGGCGACATATGGTGAATGCAAGATTCAACTAGATCTTCTTGGCGACATGCCCGCGTCTACAACAATACCCCATATGGACAACACCAGACAAGCCGAAAGGGCCATTGCAAGAGACTGCCAAGCCACGATGTCGCGGAACACAGGTGGCGATCAAAATCACCGCAGAAGCACTACACCTCAAGCACTATGCCTGCTAAATGGCACATCATGGCTTTAAAAATTTCGAATCCATGGTCCCGCACAACCCCTACCACCCAAAGCCGAAACATATCCTGTCATATTGTAGCTGCTGCGCTTCATATCACGTGGTGTAGCAACTAGCTTAACTAGTCCCTGGAATCTAAGCTTCTAATCTCACCAGCTCTTGCTATTAGTACTTGCCTTATTGTTCTCACCATCGCTACTACGGTTCCCATGGTGGCTGTGATTGTAATTGCAATTTTTAGTCCTACTATTGCTTGTATTGCTGTTGTTTTGTTGCCAAGTTTAGGGTGTAGGGTTTAGGGTTTAGGGTTTTAGGGTTTAGGGTTTAGGGGTTTAGGGTTGCCATTGTAACTACCCTAAGTCGGAAACCCTGAACCCTCGACAGGGTTTGGGCTGAAAATCGCTACGGCTCGGAGTTCCACATCGAGAACTGGTTCTTTGCAGCCCCTCCGCAGGAGCTGGGTAGGGATTGTAACACAGTTCTGTGGACATACAATATTCAGGATTGTAGGGGTTGGGCATTAGGTCTTCGCCTGGGCGGCAGGGGGGAGGAGGGGTAAGGCTTGTAAGGCTTTGCGGTAGTTTAGTTTTTGAGGGGGGTTAAAGGGTTTAAGGGATCGCTGAGGGATAAGGGTTTCATATAGTTGCAATGAACAACCTGCCCTGTGTAAGGACGTCTGCATGAGTCCTAACACTGCCGCTACTGTAAGGGCCCGATGGTAAAGGTTTAGTGATCAGTTGTCTGCAGGACCACTTGCCACCTTACGCCTTATAAAACCCCAAACCGTGAACTGTGTTCGAGCCAGGTGCGTTTGCTTGGCTCCTGGCTTAGGTCTGTGGATACCGGAAAACACATGAGCCCAGAAAGAAATGCCAGTGTCAGAAAATTGAATCAACGCAGAGGCAGCGAGAAACGAAATTCTGTGCAGCAGTAGTAGTAGCAGTAGTAAGTAGTAGTAGTAGTAGTAGTAGTAGTAGTAGTAGTAGTAGTAGTAGTAGTAGTAGTAGTAGTAGTAGTAGTAGTAGTAGTAGTAGGAGTAGGAGTAGGAGTAGGAGTAGGAGTAGGAGTGGGAGTAGGAGTAGCAGTAGGAGTAGGAGTAGGAGTAGGAGTAGGAGTAGGAGTAGGAGTAGGAGTAGGAGTAGGAGTAGTAGGTAGTGGTAGTACGTAGTAGTAAGTAGTAAGTGGTAGTAGGAAGTAGTAGTAGTAGTAGTAGTAGTAGTAGTAGTAGTAGTAGTAGTAGTAGAAGCAGTAGTAGTAGCAGTAGTAGTAGTAGTAGTAGTAGTAGGTAGTGGTAGTAGGTAGTAGTAGTAAGTGGTAGTAGGAAGTAGTAGCAAGTAGTAGGTCGTAGTAGGTACTAGTAGTAGTAGGAAGTAGTAGTAGTAGTAGTAGTAGTAGTAGTAGTAGTAGTAGTAGTAGTAGTAGTAGTACTAGTAGTAGTCGTCGTCTTCGTAGTCGTAGTCGTAGTCGTAGTCGTAGTGGTAGTGGTAGTAGTAGTAGTACTAGTACTAGTACTGATACTAGTACTAGTAGTAGTAGTAGTAGTAGTAGTAGTAGTAGTAGTAGTGGTAGTAGTAGTAGTAGTAGTAGTTAGTAGTCGTAGTAGTAGTAGTTATATTTAGTAGCAGTAGTAGCAGTGATAGCAGCAGTGACAGTAGTAGCAGTATTTGCAGTAGTATAGCAGTAATAGCAGTAGTAGAAGTAGTATAGCAGTAGAACTAGCACTAGTACTACTAGTATGACTAGTATGACTAGTATGCCTATTGCGCCTATTGTGCCTTGTATGACTGGTAGTAGTAATGGAAGTAATAGTAGTAGTAGTAGTAGTAGTAGTAGTAGTAGCAGCAGGAGTAGTAGTAGTAGTAGTAGTAGTAGTAGTAGCAGTAGCGGCACCAGTACTATGTAGTAGTTGGTGTTGTTTTTGATGGCCGTGGTGGTGTAGCTAGTGTTGCCACAACCGTAAGTTCCCCAAGAACTTAAGCCGCAGTGTCCGGATACAACAAAAGTTCCTTAAGTTCAACCCCAGTCCACTGGGAAGGGGTCTGATTGTGACAACAACAGCAACAAAAACAACACGCACGGATTTTTGCACATGTACAGCAAGGCGACACTAGTTACTAGTTTTCATAGGGGCATTTCGGATAGCTCTGCAGAGCATGAGCTCAGAATCCTGATTCTAAGCTATCGTTTCCAGGACAAATTCTTTCAATGCCGCCCGGCTCCCAGGCAGCAACTCCAACAGCCGAGAAAGAAGAAACAGAAGGGCGCGCCCGACAGCACCTCTTGCCTGCCTTCTGTTCTCAGGAGTTGGCTCTGCGCCCAGATCCAAGCCTGAACCTCTAAACCCTAAATCTTTTGAAGACTTTTCCCGATCCGCAACACACGCGAAGACCAACTCGGCCAACTCGCCAGCACGGAAGTCCTAAACCGGAAACCCTTCAAAGAGAACCCTGAACCCTACACCTTTACTAAGTAGTCGAGAAGGTATGCTGCCACCTTTTTGAGGTACTCTCATCCTTATAAAGGAATCCCAAAGGTTAACTTTTAATCCTCCTAGGATACCGGACAAGTAGGCTTAGACCCTAGTTTGGAAGAAGTTCCGCCTTCCCATGCATCAGGACCCCTTCCTCGCGAGGACAATGAGCTGTGTGAAGTGTCTTGTATCCAACTGCCTGTGAATTAGGATAGGGTCGGGATACCTAGGGACAAAATCCTTCATAGTCTTTATTATGATTCCTTGATCGTCCCTACAACTCAAAATCTGCGTTTCCTATGGGGGGGTGATCACACTAATCAGACCCTCCATTGTACGTTGTGTTCCTGAGGCCCTGCATGAGGGTTTGCATGCCTCTTAGATCTGGCCGCAGCTGTGCCGTTCATAGGTTTTGTGAGTGTTTGTTTGGGGGTCTGTGGTGCTATTAGCTCTTGAGGGCCTTGAGGTTATAGGGTGTTGTTGAAAATCGGGGACTGATCAAAGGGGAAAAGGGGGGACCCTTAATGGGGACCCCTACCCTATAATGGGCTATATAATGGGTATATCAAAGCTATATTATACCTAGGGCTCCTTAGTAAGGGTCCCTCCTTTTACCCTTGGAACTGAGAAGAGGCAAGGTTTACTTGAAAGGGTGCTTAGAGTTTCATGGTACTTAGTAACTAGGGTTATATATATATATATAAGGTGCCTATACTTATAACTGGTTATATCCCCAGTTAAGGTACTTATAACCGTACTTGCTAAGTCCCATGAAAATCCAAGTGGGGATTCCTGTCCAACTCGGCACTCACGCTTGGCGACCCGTGCTGTTGATCGTTGAAGCCCCACCGCATGGCGGCCAACCTTGCATGCAAGCTTCGAAGCCCACTAACTTAAGATCCTGAATTTCCTGCCGGAAGACCTTGTAGACAACCTGAAGAAAAATACACTAAATAAGAGCTTCCGAAAATCTGGGATACCTTATTATGGGGTCCTTATACTAAAGGTCCTGCTATTTAGGGTACCAAACGGGGTCCCTTATTTTCGGAAACTCCTACATCCCTGCAGAAACCGAACGACGCTCAACCCCCAGGCCCCAGACCCTAAACCAACCTTGGCCGCCAAAGAAAGCCCGAAGCAATCTAGGTTCGGACCTACAAAACTTGATCAAACCCTGGAAGGCCATAGAGAGAGAGTAATATATGTCTTTACAGTTATGCATATTAATACATATATGTACGTAGAATTATGTAGACATGTACATCGAACGTGTATGTACACGTGCGTATATAGAATATGTATATATATATATCTATACATACATACTACATGTGTAGATATAAAAAGACATATATATATATATATATATATAGCATTTATATATATATATATATATATATATAAGTCTGCAAATATTATGTATATGTATATGTATATGTATATGCACTTTATAGTCTGTTTTGTTGTTCCTCACCGCAAACCCCCAAGCAAACTCAGGTTCGGGCATTCGATCACCGACAAATTCAAACTCGGAGAACGTCCTGACATCTTCACAGCCAGGCAGAAAGACCTCAGACCTAACATGGGTGCCGCGAGAACTTGAAGTTGGTCTTGCTGCACAATGCAGTACACGTTATATAGAACTTGCCTTACCCAAAGGCTCCATGTACCCATAAAGTCGGTACTTAGGCCTTAAAGGGGTCCCTATATAGGCACTTTAAGGCCTAAGTACCTGCTATATGGGCACATGGAGCCTTAGGGTTAATGACTAGAACAGGGTGGAAGGTCCCTAAGTGGCTCTTTGGGTGCTATCTGGTTTCCGCACGGGCTTACATAGGCATGTGATGAGATGTCATGGCAGTTTGAGTGGCCAAAGAGAGACCAGGTTCTAGGTAATGTTGTTTGGGCTGTCTTGACTGTAACCAATTTTCCTAAACCCTTCACCTGGCGCCAATTTGCGCCCTGCACCATCTCTAAAGACCTGGCCTCTTCGGGGACCTGCAACTTAAAGACTTTCAGGCCCTATAAACCTCAAAATTCTTAAGCTTTTCAACCCGGGATCGGAATTTCTGCGTTTGAAAACAGCTGTGTGCGCACTGTGAATGTGAAAGAGGTTGTGGAAAACTAGTTCCACACTTGACGGCTACCCCAGGGCTCTACAAGGGTCATGGGCTTTCGTGAGGAATTCGTGGCTATACCCAAACCCCTGCAAAAAAACAGCCTCTTTAGAAGCTTTTCAGGTGCAGGTTTCTTCGGGTTCAGGGTTTTGGGGTCTTGGGATTTGATTACCAGGGTCCAGGAGCCTCAGGCTAGAACTAGCTCACTCAAAACACCCTTAACCTTAGACTCTACTGAAATGATCAGTGCGAAAGAAGCCGCCAGGCAGCTGGAGGACCTTCATGCTTTAGGACCGACTTTCTTTTGGATTTGGCTTACCTTTGTTAGGATTTAGGGTTTAGGAATTAGGGGTTTAGGCTTTAGGACCGACTTTGTTAGGGTTTAGGGTCTCTGCAGTTTGGATTCTTCTTGTTTCTCGACGCTTTAGGACCGATTTTCCTTTGTTCCTATGGATTTGGTTTACTTTCGTTAGGGTTTAGGGTTTGTTTCTTCCTAGCGGTTTGGGTTAGTCTGGTTTCTTGTTTTGTGGTGTGATTGTGTGTGAAAAGGTCTCAGATCTGGGTTTACCGGATCTCTTCCTCCTGTGGATTGGCAGACCTTTGGAATCTTTAGAAGACTTTCCGGGATTTGGCTTCTTGTCCCGCCGCGCGCAAGCCCCTTTACTCTGTAAACGGCTTGTGAGTCTTCCTCATACAGTAGCCAACTGGAGGCTGTTTGCGGTTGTATATGTAAGAAAGTATACATCGATAACCCCACCAGATCTATCACGGTAACGTTTCGGGTCGAGGGAAGTTGGAAATATTTACTTTGTATATAGCTTCTCACCCTGCGTGGTTTGTAAGTCCAGTGCTGCTGCAGGTGCACACCCCCCAAATTTCCTGCATGAAAATCCACATTTATCTACTCGCTACCTCTGAGTGGAGCTCCTCCAAAGCCATAGCTTAATCTCGCCGTGGCTTCAATCTCGCCGGTCGTTTTGGGGTTGGCTCCTGCATGTTCGCAGGAATCGGAAACTATCTCATGACGGATGCATGCATGTTCAAGACGATCGATGAGGCTCCCTGACTGCACAATCAGGCCGAAAACTTGCGCATATTCTTTGCACTTCTTGCTTGGGTCAAGAGTATGGTATATCTTAGAGACCCCCACCATGTAATAGTGGTAAAATAGGAATATAATAGGGCCCTAATATAATCCTTACATAGTCACTATTACAGGGTTGGGGCAGCTTCTATGGTATATCCACTAGCCACACGCGAGATGTTTATAGTCCCTTCGTGCTGCGCTTGCTTGCCAGTCCAGAAACTTCATATGCGTCTTTTCAGCCCCTAGAACTAGGTCGCCCTTTGAGATACTCGCGAATTTGCTTGCTAGTTTCGCAGAGGCGACCGCAACCCGGACAGCTCCAAACCCTAAAGCGCCAGCTCTAACACCCCCACAACCTTGAACCCAAAGCCCGAATAAATACTGATACCAAAACATACAGTCGAAACTACACCAAAACTTTGTTGAAATCATAAGGCACTATACCAATCTCTACAGTCTTACAGAAATCCGTATAGAACCCTTCAAGGGAACCCTGTTCTACCTAATTTCACAGTGCATCTCCCTTTCAGGACAAGGCTCTCTACGATTGGTGGAGAAGCCCCTCCGTACACCGGATCAACTGGCTTGGAGCCGCGGATCCATTTGGGGTTTAGCGGCTCGGGGTTCAGGGCTGGTTTAGGGTTCTGGGTTTAGGCTTAGTCTAGGGTTTAGGGTTGGGTGGTTGTCAAAATGTTTTTTGGGGCCCCAAAAAGTACGGCACCTATTTTTTAGGGTATCCAGAAAGGGACCAACATTTTGACAACCACCCGGTTAGAGGTTCAGGGTTTTGGGTTTAGCCTTCGTCTAGGGGTACTTTGGGAGTTTCAGCGAGCTAGGAGGGGTTTCAGGATTCGTATAAGGCCTCCCTTATACCGCTACTTTGCGAATGACATGTATGTATATGTATGTATCTATGTACGCATGCATGCATGTATGTATATGTTTAAACATACATATGGACATTTTCAGGTCCTATTTTGGTTAGCGAAACAAAGGAACAATGGAATTACGATGGAGACTATAGGTAGTGTAGACAGGATGCGGATATCGAGGCTTGGACAGACAGGGGGTCTATTCATCAGGGGGATTGTGCAGTATGGTGGTTTGGGTGTTTCGGGTTGGGGGTTTGGGGTTTAGGGTTATGTGAGAATGCCGTGGCCTTCACAATCTTAACACTGCTTGAGGACACGTGATAGCGCTACGTGAAACGGACAAGACTAACGGACTCAGGAGCACACTACTACTACTACTACTACTACTACTACTACTACTACTACTACTACTACTACTACTACTACTACTACTACTACTACTACTTATACTACTACTACTACTACTACTACTACTACTACTACTACTACTACTACTACTACTACTACTACTACTACTTCGTACTACCACTTACTACTACTACGTACTACGACTACCTACTACTCCTACTACTCCTACTACTCCTACTACTACTACTACTACTACTACTAGTACTACTACTACTACTACTACTACTACTACTACTACTACTACTACTACTACTACTACTACTACTACTACTACTACTGCTCCTGCTCCTGCTCCTGCTCCTGCTCCTGCTCCTGCTCCTGCTCCTGCTCCTGTTACTGCTACTGCTACTGCTACTGCTACTGCTACTGCTACTGCTACTGCTACTGCTACTGCTACTGCTACTGCTGCTACTACTAGTTGTTCAGGCTTTTCTGTTATGTTTGTGGATTTTTCAGACCCCGAGACACCTTATGTGATGTGAGAAAAGGCCTTTACAATAAAGGCTTAGCGCAGTTCTCTTCTGGAACTTGGCGTCGAGGCAAACGTAAACGCTCCCATTTTTACTACTATACAGAGGGTTTTATCGAATGTTGAAGGGTCTCGTTGGCTAAGGTAGAGTGCGATAGGCCCTTGTTCTCGAGCATTAAGTACATACAGACACCCGATAGGCTTCCAAGGCATCGACGTTTGGGCAAGTGAGCCATGTACCACGGACTGTCATGCTACTGGACATGGACACTCTTACATACCATACTCAACCCCCCTCAATGTAGTTCCGCTGTTTGTGAACAGTAGTTCAGGGTTTAGTGAATAGGGTTCAGGTTCTCGCCCAAACCCAAGCCCTTAAGCCCTAATATCCTAGAGCTCCGCCTAGCACGGTGTCGGACAGCTTAATGGTAATATCCCTTCTTATGGTTTCTGATTATCACAATACCCCAACAAACCTAGTCAAGGGCCCCTACTCCCTCAAACCTCTAGAACCCCAAAGCCCTAAACGCTGAACTCTAGAACCCTAAGCCTCAAACCCCTTTAGCAGCTCTACACTCTAAAGCCCCCGAAATCCGCCCCAGGACACTTGCGGAACTCCTGGCCGGATGGCCCAGAATCGAATTATCACAGGGATCCCCTAAAGGCCCTACTTGTAGGATCATGGGACTTGGTAAGTAAGGTTTTCATAACCTTAATTGGGGTTATAAGTAATCATGAGTATAGTTACTTTAATTATAACCCTAGTTACTAAGTCCTTGACCCTTTAAGTATAGTGATTAGGACTAGGGTATAGGGTTTAGAGTTCCTAAGGCCCGAAGCTTAAGACTTGAATAGGATCAGGGTTTAGGGTTCCTGTAAGGGCTCTGTAAATTGCTCTAGAAGGGTGACTAGTATATGGGAGATTCCAAAAATAGGGGACCCCCAATCTAGTACCCTAAATAGTAAGATCCTTATGATAAGGACCCCAAAATGAGGTACCCCTGAGTTTTCGGAAACTCCCATAAATAGGGTTTCACCGATCACAGGGGTCCCTGGAAGGCCTCATCCGATAGGATTACTTGGAGGTTCAGGGGTGGTTACAAGTCCTCGAACCCAAACCCTAAGTTCTGAACCTTAAACCCTATTACGTTGGAGTGAGTTTAAGGAACTAAGTGGAACGACATGGGTTTTTGTTCAAGCTTGGACATTACCGGGGCTGGTTACCCGGGTTCAGGATTTGAAATCAGTTTCTGCAAAACAGCGCTATCTTCAGTGTAGTCTGGTATACCTTTACACTCTGCACTGCTAGAGACTCTGGACCATGGTCTTGCACAGTTCGTTGCCGGAACAGGGTAGGCCTTCCAAAGCGGTTTTGCCGTTTCAGGGCTACATGGTTTGCTGATTCTGCCTTAGAAGGGGCCCCCACCCTGTGATAGTGACTATAAGGATTATATTGAGGCCCTATTATATTCCGAAAATACCACAATTACAGGGTGGGGGCCCCTTCTAAATTATGCCTCCTAAAGTGCAAAAGAGTAACAAGCCACCCCGGACGGAACTGCGGAACTGCGAGCCAGACTCCAATATAGAATCCTTAACCTTTTGCGCCGAACCAGAACACCACAAGGTTTAGATCAACAGGGCTTGTATGAAAAGGGCTCAGAACCCTCTTCGGAAGAGCAACTACCAAGCATTTAACCCATCCAATGCGGTTTTGAGTTTTTTTTGGACCACCCCACAGCCCTGTTGGAACAGAACGGATTCAGTATAGTTCCATATAGCCAAAGTAGATAGAGACGAGATTTCTAGAAAACTTGTCCGCCGGGATATTCCTAGGTTATGGTGCGGTTACGACAGTTATGTGTGCATTGTTGAATCAGGATAAGAACCCAGATGCGAAGAAGTGCCAAAGGAAACTATCGGCGACTGCAGTGTTACATATTTCTAAGATGTCTGTTTGTACCTAAACACGACCAAGCAAGCCCCAAGCCGTCTTGAAGCTTCTGTTCACGACCGGACCTGTTACTGTCATGTAAGTTCCTGATTGGCATCATCACTGACGCTGGTAATAGGCACCAGCACTGTCTGATCAGCAAAGCTCGATGTTACGAAGAGATGGCCCGTTATTGAAGTCAGTTGCTCTTGCACGCAAGATCTTGCGCTTTCTGAGCTACTCAGAAAGCAACGATTTTCTGTTTCAGTGTGATTTGGTAGCCTGTCACGATCAACGCAAAAGTATTTGCACCCACCGTCGTGACACGAAGTGGCACAGAAGACACATCTGTGCTGGCCATCTTGTTCGTGACCATGCCATTGAATTGCATTTGGCCTCGTTGCTGAATTGAGTCTTCCAGGTTGCGCCTTGCATTAGGAAGTGCGGGGTCGCATGCTTTGCAGTATCCAGCAGCAGTCGCAACTGATTCTTGACACGAGGAGATTCATTAATCATAGTTAGCGATGTTCTAGAGACAGTTTTGTTGACTTCCGGCCAGTCTAGCCATGCCCACTGTGCAGTCCACAGCGAACTGCCACCGCCTGGCTTCTGTTGGGGCACAGCTTGAGAAAAACAAGATCAAGCAAGTCAAAGCCAATGTCATCGCATGGATCGGTGACAACCCCAGCATCGTTGATGATATGGGAATTGCTTTAGGACCTACCCCGTAGAAGCTACAACCACAGGACGTCCAAACGGCCATGCATGAAGTTCAGCAGAGAAACATCGCAAGTCTACAAGTTCAAACTTTAGCAGCCGTAAACTTTGGCAGCAGGCGCTGGCGCTTAGGGCTCCACATGCTTGCGCTGTCATGAAGCGATATTGGTTTCCAGTTCGGTTGTTTTGGGTTTAGGGTCAAGATGGAATGTGGCATAAATCCAGCTGTCCTTGTTGGTACCTTGGTTGAAGGGCTTTCGCGAGACTTAAGCCACAAGTGCATTGCCACTGACTCGGTGTTTTTGTCACTAACATCGGTTATGAGCTAGTAGTGCTTCTAAGATGTTTCTTGGGAACGGAAGTGCTTCGCTTGAACTGCAGAGTCGCAGTTTGGACTCTCTGCAAGCATAGAAGCTCTTTTTCCCTAAGGCCCCTTGTCTGAAACTCAACCAAGTCCTGTTTGCTCTCCCCTACGTGTGAGTATGTAGCAAGGTATCAGACTTCAGAGGCATTTGTAGCTAACCGAGCAACTCTAATTTAAGGTTCAGTATTGAGGCTCTTCAATATTCTGGTAGCAAACGCAAATGGGGTCTTTGCGGAAGAACAAAAATTAAGCGTCCGATCTTTAAATGCTTGCCAGTTCCCCCCATCTTCCTGGAAAAAACTCAAAGTGTAAAAAGAAATATTTATTTGCCGTTACAAGTATTTATTTGTCTTCATTTGTTTTGAAAAGTCTTTATTTGTCTTTAAAAGTTTGTGTTTATCTTTGAAAGCTTTTATTTGTCTTTCAAAGTTTGTATCTGTCTTGAAAAAGTCTTTTAAAGTCTTTACTTGTTTCATGGTTTGTCTTTATTTGGCTTCAAAAGTGCTTAAAGTCGATGGTGTCGAGAACAAGCCCTGTGGATCTACACCTTGTGGTTCTGGTTCGGTGCAAACGGTCAATGATAGAAGCCTGTACCGTCACATAGGGGTATATGGTCCCAAATAATGGATACTTTGGGTCTAATAGAGGGTAGATGGAGGGTCTAGGTAGAGCCTCATGCCTCTCCCCTGTCAGCTCGAAGGTTTGAGCATCCAAACAGAACGAGGAAAGAGACTTGGCTGCACCAGAGGCAGGTGAAAAGTGGAGCGCTATATCCCACAGACCCTAAGGCTCCATGTAACATTACATTATTTTCCCAGGCTTCTGGCGCGTCCTAGCATCAGAACTTTCGGCCCGTGGGTGTATTGACTAGTTTGACCAAGGCTGCGGCTTGGGCTTTGGAGTCTTCCCTGTCCTGAACGCTTAGTATTTTTGGTTCAGTTCTCTTAATTCTAGTGTTCCATCCAAGGCCGGAACAGGCTCGCTTCTGCTTTCTGAGTCTTCTTCCTGAGCCAAGAACTTGTTTCAATCATTTGCTTCCGGCTTATACGTCAGCCATTAACTTGTTTTAACAATTTGCCTCCGGCTTATAAGTCAGCCAATAACTTGATGCCAATCGTTGTGAACTTTCTTACGAACAGTTTCCAAGGCCTCAGCCAATAACTTGTTTCAACAATTTGCCTCCGGCTTATAAGTCAGCCGATAACTTGATTACGGTCGCTGTCGTCTTTCTTAGTACAGTTGCCAAGGCCTTACGACGAAGGCGAAGAAAACTTTCAATGGTCATGAGTTTTTTGAATGTACTGTTTTCCGGTTTATATCCAAGCAAAATCTTGTTTTGGTTCTTTGCCTCCGGCATAGAATTAAAGCCAAGAACAAGAATCCGCTCGTCACTTTTCTTTTCAGCGAGCACAACGTCTTGATATCTGAGCCTTGAGTTCCAGATCGGCAGCACTTGGAGGGTCTGGGGACTTAGTAACTGGTTACTTTAGGGACTTATAAGTACCAAAACCCCAATTAGGGTCCCTTTTAGGGTAGTTATAAGTCTACTTACTAACTACTTACTAAGTCCCCCGACCCCCCAACCAGCAGCAGCACAAGCACGAGACTGGAGAGTTTGCTTCCAGACACAGTAAACGAGCGTCAGGGTGCTGAAAGTTTTTCGAAGCGGAGGTTCGTTTGAAGGGTTTCAAGGTTCTTATAAGGTTTGTATATAAGGGTGTTTAATGAGTTCTTCATATTCACGCTTGGCAGGGGACGGTTGTCAAACAGAGCGTAAAGGTTCAGCCCACATATGTGTGTATATGTTCGTGTATATATCACGGGCACGTGAAGCCTTCGGGAGACTAAGGCCGAGTAAGTTGCTTCTTACCGGCGCAAGTCTAAAAAGCAGGTCGGGTGAATCGGCAGAAGCACCCAAGCCGATTAGGTTGAGAGCGCTGAACCTGGGGCTATGAAGACTTTTCACATGCCAGGGCTCTTGGCGGGAGCGTCTGGGATTTCAGACAAGCTCTCTACAGGTTGGGAAGCGCCAAGGTATCAAAGGCGAAAGTACTTGCTCGAAGTGTTCTTTGCTATGTTATTGCAGATTTATTTCCAAGTAAGACTAGGGACTTGGCTCACAGCAACTAGATTCTCTGTTGGACTTCTCTCGACAAATCTCGGTCTAGACAACAGAAAAGATCCAAGCACATCGTAAGTGCGGAATATCGTTTGAAATACACTGGGATCCTCACTCTAGGTCGACAAGTGGTCACCTTACACCCTATTATCCTTGAAAGCTACGGACGAAGACGAACACACGTCCGTTTATGTTAAGGGGCTACTGGGCAGCTTAGCAGTAAGATCGATGTATATTTGTAAAATAGACGGTGTTTCACTCCCTCGTAAGCTGAGGAGATATTCTTCAACGTGACGACCGAGATCGTGACCGTCTTCACAGGAGGAAGCATTCACCTGCTGAAGTTTACGGGCGGTATGCGGTACGCGTGGCTTGGCTTCGGCTGCTGCTCCCGGATAGCCCGGAATCCCTCACGCCCGGGAGCAAACCAATTAAATCCCAATCCTAGCATGAACTTCTAATTTCGGTTTTGGCCGCAGTTTTCTTCCAGTACCCTTTTGTCCTTTTGGGTTTGGCTGCTTGCAACATTGGGAGAAAGTATTCGAAACCCATTTGGCTAGGGTTTGTGTCAGGCCTCGGTGGCAACCTAGGGGCCCTTTAATTTGTAGTTCCATCATGATTGTAGCATAACATACCCCACAGCCCTGTTCTAACACATTCACAAGATTCCACAGGCTAACAGCACGAGGCTCTGTTGAATTGCATAGACGCTGGAAAGACTCCGTAGGTAGATGATAAGTAAGGCCACGTGTGCTGTTGCCCTAACAGTGCTAGGATTCACTTGGTGGCTGACCTGCTACGTGCACTGATCTTTGTGGTCCCCTGTAGCCTTTTTGGCAAGCTTTAGCGAGTATCTAGATTTGTCAGGGTTACACTAATATAAAACACGTAAAACGTGTTTAGAACAGTAAACCAGAGCCGAACCCAAACCCCTGAAACCCGCAGCTGTAGACCCTAAGCCCTTGACCGGCTTACAGCCCTAACTAAACCCTCAACCCTAAAACCCTAAACTCTAAACCTCTAAACTCTAAACCCCAAAGCCCTAAACCCTACACCCTAAATCCCTAACCCTAAAGCCTAAACCCCTCAACCCTAACACCCAAGCGCTTGAGCCCTGAACCTGAACCCTCAGCACCGGCTGAGGCTCCTGAGAGACTTGAGCCCAAAAGAGTTGCATCCTGGCCCCTTTTAACGTTTCTTAAGGGGTTTTGGGGTTTAGGATCCAGGGCTTTCGGGTTTAGGGTAGTAAAATGGTTTAGGGTCTGGGGGTTTGGGGTCATAGGGTTAAGCGTTTGGAGCGGAGAAGGGTTTCTGGAAGGGCTGCTAGACCGGCACTTTTACTGGTTGCCGCACCTGAACAAACTTGTCTGGTAAGGAAGGTATTGGAGTGCAAAGTTTGCGGTTTGGGTTCCTTGAGAGTACGCAACTGGTCGGGTTTGGCGAACAACAATCTAAACCCAAAGCCCTAAGTTGTTCCACTGTACATCGGCTATGTACTTGGATCTGATCGGATTAGTTTTAGTACCTCGTGTCTGGCTGCTTCGGTTTCCTGATTCCAACTTTGACATTTGGTTTTGGGCAGGTTGGGATATTTGAGAGGGCTCAACTGCTTGGCGCTTCATGGCGTCAAGTGTTTTGTCTTGGCCTGACAAGAGACATATCAATATGAATCTTATGAACAATACAAACATCGTAGCATACGGTTGATGATATAAACCCCGCATTACCTTAATGACCCTAGATTATGGGAGCTAGTGTATATTCGTTAGTTATGGGTAATGCAGGATTTATATCATCAACCGTAATCCCTAAACCCTAAACCCCTTTATAGATCCCTTAACGGAGCCCTTTTAAAGGTAGCCCTTGTAGATCCCTATAAGGGAACCCTAGGATTTCTATCATCAACCGTAGGGTTTATGCTGTGTGGGTGGTCAAGGCCGGTACAGTTCGTGTCTCACGAAAAGCAACCCGAAGTCCCGTGCGAGCCGGCTTTCTACTTGGGGCGTCTTTAGGAGACTTAGTAAGTAGTTAGTAAGTAGACTTATATGTACCCTAAAAGGGACCCTAATTGGGGTTTTGGTACTTATAAGTCCCTAAAATAACCAGTTACTAAGTCCCCCGACCCTCCAAGTACGATGGATCTTGGTAGCATGGACTAACCCTAAGGGTCATGTACCCAGATAATGTATACTTTGCCCCAAAGAACTTTAGGGCCAAAATTATGAACCGTATGAGTACATCGACATGGGCGACAAGACAAGTCTTCTTGTACATGTTTCTGATAGAAACCTTCGTCTCTTCATGCATTGATTCGCCGGGTTCTGTCAGGTTGCCCTATGCACAAGCATCCTTGTGCCATTAGACGTTGGAGCATGTGCTCCAGGGTTCGTGCGGTCATGCGTGCTGCTTCTTAGTTGCTAAAACCTGAAACTAAGTGGCGGACAGCGCTGCCATGAAGCCCGACTCACGACGCCTGAAGAATAATTTGTTGTGCCTAAGCCTGAATTGATTCCTATTAAAGCCAAACCCCAACTCCAATCTCCCTGAGGATGAAAACAGTTCTTCTCTGTTGTCAGGCTTGCTGGTACGTTCCCAGGGTGCTGAGTGTCCGGTGGCCCCGTAGTACAAAGCTATGGACGGTGTTATACCCTGCGCCCTCTAATATCTTTAGTCCCTTATCAAGCCCTCCGTTGTGTCTGTTCGGGCCCTGTGTAATATTGGCTTACACCGTCACAACAGTATTCCTTAAGATTCCAGTTCATAGTGTTAACATAGTGTACCCCAAAACTCAATTGAAATTATTAAGGCCCCCCAAACGATTCAGGACCAGTTCTGGTTGTCTGATTTGTTGTTAGGGCTCTTGAGTTTGGGGTGTTGGGATAGGGATAGGGTTATACTTGTTTGATGGGTTTTGGTTTGGGCTGCAGGGTATAAGTCGGCTTTATATACAAGGAACTTTGCAAGGATTCCGACGATGGAATGTAAATCGCTTTTCTAATCAGCTTTCGTTTACACGTATTGATTGAGTTTCGGGCTTATGTTTTTTAGTCAATGGTACTCTTGAGGTACGGCTGCGTGGACAGTTCGTGGAGTATCACGTTGACCGCTGCACGGCATCAAAGCAAGGAGATGTATTCTATCGGGCAATCCAACACCAATCCTCTGCGACCTAAACCCTAGCCCCTAAGCCCCTAACCACTAGACCCTATTTCCAACACTGAGATCGCAATGCATGTCCAAAAATAAAGGTTATCCCTCAAAAGCCTAGGTACTTGAAGGATCATGGGACTTACTAAGTAGGTTATAATTGGGGTTATAAGTCGCCTAAGTGGGGTTATCCTAATTATAACCTACTGATAACCTTACTTACTAAGCCCCATGAGCCTGTATCGTGGGGTAGTTTTCCGCGGCCATTGCTTGGCCCTAAGCCCCGTCTGAACCAATAGGACCCAACACGCACTAACCCACTACAAGCGCGTGAAAGCCCTCGTACGAAGAACTCGCTAAACTATACTGTAGATAAATAGGTACACCAAAAACGGATGTATACATACATATATATATATATATATATATATATGTATATATATATATATGTACACAGACACCGTTAGTAATTGTACTGCTTTTATCCCTATAATCCCTAAACCGCCAGATAAATATGTGTTGCTAGGCTTGTTTGGCGGGTTTGCAGTCTCCAGCTTCAGACTTTACCTGAAAGCTTGAAGCGCTGCTGAGCAGCATCACGCAGCCCCTTTCAGATTTGAGAGCCTGTGCATCCTTGATGTATCGTAGAAAACGCTTCTCACAAAGGGCTGCGGCAAACAGGACGCAGAGAGACAACCTTCATAGTTCTTAAGCCAAATTCATAACAGGACAACCTTGATAGTGCCCGCACCCTGGTTCCTGAAAAGGACGACTTTGATAGCTTCTGAAGCAACCTTTAAAATAAAGCACCGAAGCCCTAACCCATAGCTCCCCACCCGAAATCCCAAACCCTGAACCCTCGACCCGAAAGCTCCCACAACCTAAAGCCGCTAAACCCTAAAGCTTTCGACCGCTGTCTGGTGAATAGTAGGGAATCGGGGGAAGGGATCCCTATATAGTAGCCCCTATATAGTCCCCAATAACAGTTTAATCTCCATAATCCATTCCCGAATTCCCTACTAAGAACCAGACCGGGACTATAGATACCCTAGGACCCCTATAGTATATCCCCTATAGTATATCCCCTATAGTAGCCCTTCTAGTAACCCTTGAAGGAACCCCAGATTGCCTACTAAGAACCAGACTACTTGGAGGGTCGGGGGACTTAGTAACTGGTTATTTTAGGGACTTATAAGTATCATAACCCCACTTAGGGTCCCTTTTAGGGTACTTATAAGTCTACTTACTAACTACTCACTAAGTCCCTGAACCCTAAACCCTAAACCCTATAGAGCCCTTTAAAGGAACCCTTAGAATCCCCTTTAAAGGAGCCCTTACTAAGTCCCCTAAAGACCCCCCAAGTACCGAGGCAGTGGGGCTCTTTAGCCCCTCGAAGTGCTCTGAGCTGGCCAAGAAGGGGGCCAACACCTGGCTTCCCACAAAGAAAGACGCGGAGTAATTTCGACTCGACTTAGATGTCTGAGCGATAAGAAATGTTAGTCCCTTGTAACCCTTATCTGTGTATATATATATATATACATATACATATATACACATGTGTAGTTATGTAAAGAGCGTTACAGTAGCCGAACCCTATAACTTAGGTTCCTTATTGTAAATAGTGGATTAGTATCCCTCTAAGCCCTATTCGGTATCATATTCAGGCCTTGTGTGATTGGAGTGAACAGGTATACAACCGTGGGAGACCGGTAGCTTATAGAGTAAATAGATTTACTGCGCTCTGGGTCCGACAGGCTTGTGTAAGGTTGAACGGACCAGCCGTTCATTTATGCAATTCAGCTTCTAGGTATTAATATCAAAGTAGTATGCAAGTAAGCAAATAAATAAGTAAGTAAGTATGCATATGTGTATCTGTGTGTTTGTGTACGTATGTGATTTTTCGATCTAGTGATCCTATTCTATGTCCCGAAACCCTATTCTAAGTGCGAAGGCTCTCAGAATGCAGTGTTTTTCTTGTTTACCCTAGGGCCTTGGGGGGCGGGGGAAAGGATTCGGGTTTAAGGTTTAGGTTGTTTTACCCTAAGGCTCCTAAGAGGGTCTTGGGCTTTCTGGGTGAGGGTTTCGGCTTTGGGGGCCAGCGTCCGGGATCTCACTACAAGAGTCCAGGAGCCTTGAGGGAATGTCTTTAAGCTCTGTTCGTTCCGGGGGGCCTTCAAGGAAACTTAATCTAGGATGCCCAGTAGTACCCTTATTCCCTTTTTGTAGTCCTAGGTTCCTTATAAAGTTACCCAATACCAAAAAGAGAGGCACTGTTTAACCTTAGGTTACTGTGTATAATGGAAGCGTAAGCTTATCTGTTGCTGTGCAGATGGTCTATGTTGCTGGGTATTCGTGTACCGACCCTAACCCCTAATCCATGCTTCAGGGTTTTAGGGTAGGTATGTACATATACTGTGTATATATATATATATATGCAAACATCATGTGTATATATATATATATATAGTAGACTCTCCTGTGTACTCATATTCCTATTGCAATATGACATATGATATCATCTCATATATGTGATGTTACAGTGTTGTGTGTAGTAGACTGGGTTGTAGTATTTATTGTGCCGGATACTCGGTTGTATTTCTTGTATTGCCACAGAGTTATTATTATAGTAACTAGCTGTTTCATATTAGATGATCTGACCTGATATCGTAGTAGCTGCAGTTCATGACATGTTCGGTTAGTTTACAACGGTTTAATGACAAAATATACCGATGCGTTATGCAATATATGTACATATATATATATATATATGAATATTGTGTGTGTGCATTGGTATGCCTGTCCGTGTGCTGTCAGATTCTTCATCGATGCCTTGATGAGTGAGGGGCTCCGGAACATAAAAAAAAACCGCAGCCCAACAAGTTAAACACTAAGTTTCAAGTAACCCAAGGCCCTGTCCATCATCCCAATCTCCTTAACCCTAAACCCTTTCCCGCGAGGGAGAGCCTCGAAGGCAGGCCTCTCATAAGAAGAGTGCTGGAGAGCTTTGCAGGGGAGTCGATGAGCATGGGATTCCAGGACAGCTTCAGGTGCATATCTGCGAGGCCATCCCTTCTGAACGATATCTCCGGAATCCTACACCCGGACCCCTGGAACCATAAGCCCTTATTAATATCATTCCCCAAGTTTGAAACCATTGTAACTTATCATAAACCCTAAACCCTTCACTCTTTGGAGCCCGGCCCCCTAGGATCTAGGATGCTGGACAAGTAGGCAACTCTGTGCATGCTGCAGCCCATGACCTGATGCTGTCCGAAGTTAAGGGCTTGGGTGCTTCCCAGAGACTCCAATACCCCTTAATGAAGGAATATACCTTAAATTATAGTAAAATCCCTAATATGATTTAAGGAAAATTCCTTAATTAAGGGGTATTGGAGTCTCTGGCTTCTGGGAGATCCCGGAGACCCAGGAAACCCAGAAGCCCCCGATGATGGCAAACGCAAAGCAGCGATCCCTCTACAGTCTAACGCGCGATCCTTAAAACAATTAAGATCCTATTGAGGGTCCCTTCTTGGGTCCTTATTGTAGTACGGCACCTAATATTTAGGGTACCCAAAAAGGTGCCATAATTTTGGCAACTACCCTTTACTAGGTTTCTAGACCTTTTACAAACCTGTATAGGAACACTGCTTTCGCAGCCCTTTCAGCAATGGCTTCGGGGTTTTCTGCGGACAATCAGCTGCAACACCGGCTGTTGGCGTCCTATTTGGGATTCCCCAGGGTTCCGCCTGTTGTCTGCGAGACGAAAGTGCCCGGAGCATCCTGTCAGAGTTGCGGTAAATGTGCTCATTATGAAGACCCCACATACACCGAGCAAGGTACCCCGGTTTTTCTGAAGTTCCCATACAGATTTCTCGGTTTCACATGGTGGTTTGGACAAATACCTAGTAATGGTAGCCCCTCGCAGCTTGCAACTTTAGAGTACAGTCTAAACCCCGGAGCCCTACACCCCTGAACCCAAAGCCGCAAGCGGAGGACATTGCTGAAAGTCGGGACTGGCAGGGTTCACCTGTAGGCTCTAACCCGCCTAGGATTGACAATCAACCCGCCTAGGGTTGACAATCTAATTGTGTTTGGGTTCAGGGTTTGCGGATGAATGCAGACCCCCCCGCTGAGAATCTGCTTTTGACAGGGCTTACAATGTGGATCTTCATCGGGGAACATGCCAAAACCAAATTCCTGTTTACCATTTCTATGCTTACTTTAGGGTTTCAAGTAGGATAGGTCCACCTACGAACAGCATTATAACCTGCCTCTGACTAAGGGTAGGGCTTCGGGGTGCCATTTACGAATGCATCTAGTGTTCGGCTTTGCTGTTTCCATGTGCTATCACACAAGCCTGCAACATGACAATGGTTAAGATGATGAACGACGACAAGCGCCAACACTACAAAGATCATCCAAACACAGCACATCTATCACTGTGAAGACGAACAATGGTGCCGCAGCACCAAGCCAGTGGCAGCACACCGTGGATTGATTCGCTAAGGCTTAAGTCTCAAGCCCAAACCCTACGCTTTGGACCCGAGCCCTTAAATCTTAAATTTATAAAGCCTAAATCAGCGTCAAACCCGCAGGCGGACGGACCATTACAACAGAACCCTTTTCAAAAGCCCTGAAGAAGGCTCCGCATATCGATGCAACCTAAGCCCCAAATCCTGAAACTTAAACCCTAAACCCTAAACCCTAAACTAAACCCTAAACCGAAGGTGGACAAGGTTCAGATGACGGACTGCTTCCGCAGCGGAGACTTCATCCGAGCTCAGGCGCGGGCCGGTTTGGTCGGTGGTTCAGTTGTCGGGGCGCTTATATGGGCTTATACATGTATGTATATATGTATCTATATATATATATATATATATATTTTTTTTTACTTATTTATTTATATTTATATTTATATTTATATATAGTGCAGCGCTGCTCGGGCCCCCCCCCCCCCCCCCCCCCCCCCCCCCCCCTGTGGTTCACTGTGGTGTGGTCCCCCTTTTTCTCCCCTGTGGTTGCGGTCGGCTGTGCCCTTCGATGGCTATTGCTGGTTGCGCGTCCGGCTGCTAAGGGATTTGACCTTAGGATGTGGTACAGTTCCACTGGACTCCGATCTGCCCCGAGCTCCAAAGCCAATGACAGAGATGAATATTTTGGTTATGGTAATGACCAATATGGTGGTCATGATCCCCGTCCGCACTCTCCTCCGGTCCCTTGCTCAAGAGTCCCGAATGAAAACCTTTCAATTTCGTGCTCAAGCTTACTTTTGACGAACCCAACCGCAACTTGGCCTGGAATGACAACGGTCGATACAGTTTCGCAAGAACATTACACTAAATATAGCAATGAGCATGCGGTGCCGAAGCCCAGAGCAATACAAGAGCAAGGGTACCACCAAAAGCCACACTGGGAGTAGCACATCAACATCATTGGGCACAACATCATCGCCATCATTCTCATCTGTATGTCGAAGGGGAGGGGAAGGGAAGGGGCCCAGTGGTTCCCTGTCTTGTGGTTCTATGGGTTGTGGGTTACCCCTCCCGCTCCCCCCGTTTGCTTGCTAAGGAGAGGTATGTTTGGGGGGGGAGTTACGTGGATGACGTGTTACTGCTTGCTGGGACGAGAGGCCTGGCCGCGGGGGGGATACCATGGGGGGCGGGGGGCCTGCGACGCGGCGACGCGGCACTTTATGTAGTTTATACGTATGTATGTATATGTATATATATATATATATATGTATATATATATATATATATATATATTCATTTATTTATTTATGTATATATATATGTGCATATATATATATATATATATATATATATATATATATATATATATTCATTTATTTATTTATGTATATATATATATATATGTACATATATATATATATATATATGTAATCCCTGCATCCGCTTCAAAAACCCACCGCAAAAAATAAAGAATGATTTTGGGCCTCTAATATTTAATATTGGGGGTACGCATCTAAGTAAAAGCATGGGACAGGGCAAGTCTGGGAGTTCCGGTTTGGAAACAGCAATTACCCGCCCTAGCCTGGGAGCCCCGCAAACGCCACGCGCCACGTTCTAGGTGTGTTCACTCGCCTAGCCTGGGAGTTCCGGATCGAGACAGTAATGAAACATGCAAGATTTTCCGGAACTCCCAGGCTAGGGCGAGTGAAAGCACCTAAAGTCCCGAGGCTAGTGTCAGTAAAAGCTACCAATCCGCACTCAGGTGGCTTTGCCAGGCAGAAACCAATGCGCACCCTGTCCAAGATAATATTAAAATTCTGTAGTTTTTCCTGGCCCCAGCCTGCCAATATCAATTCTCCATGCCGGCCGTTCCATTTCCGAATGCGGCACTTAGCCTGGGAATTCCAAATCCAGACTGCTAAACCTTGAAATTCCCGCATCCGGAGTCCCCTCCTCGGACCTCCCTCGGACGCCGCTGCAAATGTCCGCGTTCCAATTGCAAATGCACATCCTACCCTGGTATTTCTCTTGTTTCGTTCCAATCGCGCCATGCCGATCCTACCGGGGCCCCAATTCAACATGCCTTTAGATCTACTCATGTAGGATTTTTTTGCACAAAATTGGAAATTTCTTCAGCCGGGGAATTCTTTATATTAAGGTGAGATTTGTTAAGCGGATGAAGAGAATATATATATATATATATATAAGCATATATGTATATATATATATATATATATATATATATATATATATATATATATATATATATATATATATATATATATGTATATCTATATATACACATATACATACATATGTATATCTATCTGTCTATATATATATGCATCTGTGTATATGTGTATATATGTATATTTGTATATCTTAAACTTGTATCTATCTATCTACCTATCTATCTATGTATCTAACGCCTAAACTTTCAATTGGTTTGTAGGATTTGGGACCCGGAACCCCTAAACCGGTAAACCTTCATGTCCTCTAGGAACCCTCATATTAGCGCTTCAAGGAACCCTTCAAGTGTACTATAGGGGTAAGTATACTTACCAATACTGTTCTGGAGGATCCTTATTATATGTATCATATAATGGGCCCCCAAACCTTATTCTAGTGATGAAGGCCCCTTTGTTAAGGCGGTATAGGGGCTTGATGCGTGCATTTTAGAGGTTTTTTGTTTTAATGCGGTTTTCTACCGACGCCCTTGTACAGTACGGAGGCTTTAGGCTTTAGGTTTTATATAAGGCCCTACATTTTCCCTTGCTGGAACTCCCCCTAAACCCTAAACCCTAAACCAACCCTAAACCCAGGTCTTGGCATTGGGAGACCACCGGTCCTATGCCGCAGACCTACTCGGGAACTCTGCAGGGTGGAACCTTAGAAGCTGCCCCCACCCTGTCTAGGATGCCCAGTAGTACCCTTATTCCCTTTTTTAGTCCTAGGTTCCTTATAAAGTTACCCAATACCAAAAAGAGAGGCCTTTTTATTCTTAGGTTACTGGGTATCGTAGTAGTGGTATAATAGGAAAATAATAGGGACCTATTATAACCCTTATAGTCACTATTGCAGGGTGGGGGCAGCTTCTAGGTGGAACCCTTCACCTTAAGCCCTGGTTTTGGGTTTGAGGTTTTGGGCTTGGGGTGAAGGGTTTTTGGTTTCAGGGCTTGGTGTGCATAGTCCGGACATCTACCCTAAACCCTAAACCTCCAAAGCACAAAAAACAAAGCACCCACGGCTCGGGGCTGAGGCTTTCGACACTTTTGGGGATGGGGTGGATTACTCTAGGGGCCTGAATACTTGTTTGCACTACTTTGGGGGGGTTCCTTATTTTCAATGTAGTATAATGGGCCCCCAACCCTTATTCTAATTATTAAGGCCCCTACATTATGGTCCCATTATAGTTTCAGGAACCCTTAAAGGAGCCCCAAAGCCCTGTTCTAATTATTAGGGCACCGAGATTACTTACCCGGTCCTTTAGGAGGGACAACCTAATAAACTACCACATAGGCCAACCCTGATTATCTCTGAATCCTGAATCCAGCACAAAACCCGAAGCTCAGTATACTTATGTGTGTATACCTGCCCCTGCCTATCTATCTTTATGTTCATTTACCTATCTTTCTCTCTCTATGTAT